GCCGCAAAGACGAGGACCTGTGTGTGCGTACATCCCTGGGTTTGTCTACGCATGAGGGTACTGCGTTGTATTTAACACGTTACACTGCATTCAGTCACGTGGGACACTTGTTACAATGAGACACGCAACGTTGTTAATTATGTCTCGTTCAAGGGGATAAAACAAACTCGTCGACACATTCGTCAATAACAAGTGGCCTGCAGAGGAAATTGAGACCAGAGAGACAGAGAGGATACTTAGAGTTGGAGACTACACTTTACACCATGGGGTCCTGATCTAAAATAAATGTTTTAATGATGACCAGTTTTTTTTAAATTTCCATATGAATAGTTACCTAACAGTAGCTCTTGAGTGACCAAAGCCTTAATAATCAAAACGTATTACTTCTCAATAAACGGCGTACAATTCTGTAGAGTAATTTAATATTTTAAAAGTACACTGCAGTAACCCTGACTCCAAGACTTTTATGACAACTGTATTAATATTTAACAAACATTCGGCTGCTTTATCACTGGAAGCAGCAACGCTGCGATTAAATATTACAGTGTCACCTCTACCTTTTGGCTGTTACTGCCTTTGCATCAATCATAATTAATGTCTGGACATGTGAAGACGAGCGTTATAGCTCATCGTATTCCTCCAGTCCAAATACATATTCTGATTACTGATGTCCCTTCCCTACAAAAAAACAAGTAATACATTCATAGGAACCAAGAAACAATAACCAGATCACACAATTCTATATCTTCACTGGTGCCACCTCTGGTAATCCGATTACCCTAACACATGAACGATTACTGTAATGCGACAATCCCCAGTGCTCCCAAGGGGGCATAAGGTGACTCGAATTCACGTCCGTGCATCCGACACGAGCCGTCTCTTGTCACGCCAGGGGCAATGGTCACCGTGTCTGCGGACCGAGCGTGCAAGCACACAGCTGTTTGTGATAAAGAGCAGCTTCGGCATCCGAGTGTCGCGGTGTCTCGGAATTTCGACTCGAGCAGTTGTATCCTGAGCCTGGCAACAGCAGCAGCAGCGAAACGCCTCCTACAGCTGTCAGCCGTAGTTGGGCCCAGTGCACGTGACCGTCATTCCCCGAGCCACTTTGTTATATTGGTGCGAGTTGGATACAAGATGGGAACAGCTATTTTAGAATCCTTCTCATTAAAGCGAAGCATGCAAGGATGACAAGTTATGTAAACTTGTAACGAACGTCACGCATTTTTTTATGCCTGTAAAAATAATTGTCTAAATAAAACGTTTCTACTGTAGTTATGAAAACATCTCCCACATGCAAATACCATGTCTGCCTTGAGTGTAAAAGAACGATTGTTTTCAACTTTTTGAGAGTTTACATTCTTTGGTTGTAATTGTTTACAATATTCTACAGCCCTTTGTGATGAGGCCTCTGACATGCTGTGACCACACTGCACCATGCTGGTCACGGGCCAGCATGCCCAGCACGGCTCAGCATGGTGATGTTACCAGCCATGGCCGGGAATTGAACCGATAAGATCCAGGTTTCATAGTGCTGTGCACAAACCACCGTGCTACCGATTCCCCCAATGCTTTGAAATCATTCGTTGTTCGTTGAAAGGGCTTGTGAGATTTTTTTTTGCTGATGATTTTGTAAACTTGTTTAACAAAAAAAGCTGGAGCTGCAGCTATTTTTGGTATTGTCGAGTAAAATACATCACCCCCATACGGCTGACGAGTCGTTCTAGGCACGTGCGGCTCCAGCTGTGGAAATATTTTCAAACCCCTCGTTTAATAAATACATCAGGACTCGTGAAGCTGCGAGCAGTTGACTAATCCAACCATCCAACTGCTTCATTTAATGGGTTTCTGAACGTCAACGTTAATTAGATTGGTGCACTCTGCGTAATTCATTGCAGTTATGACTGGGGAGGGATCAGTAATCTTGCGACCGGTTCACAGAATCAGTCAATGGGCGGTGGTGACCCTGAGCAGGAATCGAACCCGGGTGGCAGACTTCGTAGCGAACCACGAAACTACAGCACAGCATCCCATCCCACCCCAACGAAAAATGTAACGATCCATTTGGAACGATCAACCTCGCCACGCGCACTGGTTTAATCGTTCCGTCTCCGTCCGCTGGACGTCCTCCTCCAAGACGCGTTCCATTCCTAGGCAAGTCAGCCCGGCGCTCACCGCGGTTGTTATTCTTGACCAGGGCCACTCAAGTATGTCACGTTGTTCAAAAGTAACTGTTTAGCCACGCGGGGGGGGGGGGGGGGAAACGGCAGTGAGTCATGCTCACCGGTTTTCCGTCACGCGAATTCTGGCAACAATAATCCCAAGCCGACACCGCTGCATTCATTTTCCCGTGGTTGTTGTTGTTGGGTTTTTTGTTTGTTTGTTTGAGCCGCTCTGAGCGTCGTTGTAGGGCTCCACTTGTATGATGGGGAGGAGGAGGAGGCGGCGGCCACCACTCTCGTCGCACAGCTTCCTCTTGCTGCTGCTGCTGCTATGGCGACAACCAAAAGGGTTTGAGCTTTGTGACCATTGTACTCTAAGCCGGCAGGGAAGGGCAGCGGAGGGAGTTGGATCCTCAGAGCATCGGGCTGCATCGGGCGCGCCACTCACAGTCACGCTCGCGTTCGAAGATGCAGATGTTGCGAGTCCGGACGAAAGAAGCAGCAGCGATGGATCATTCTACCCGCCCCATGGTCGTTTTGCTCTCCCCAACCTCTCTCTCTCTCTCAATGTATGCGTCCGTCTCCATGTCCGTTGTCTCTGTGTCAATCTCTCGATCTCGCCGGTTGGATGCCTCCCATGTCTGTAGCTCTCCCAGTGCCGGATTATCCCAGGAGCAAAAGTAGCTACTACATATGTAGTAGCTACGGGCCCCGCACTATTGAAGGGCCCCGCGCTAAATGCTTTCAAGCTATCAATTCCGGTTCAGTGATTCTGCACTTGCTTTATTACTATAGTACTATACCGCCTTAAACTTTTATGAACGACTGGGTGTTTAAGGTTAGAGATTTGTCGTATTATCTGGCTGTATAGCAAATGAAAAAATAAAATTACTATACTATGCAAGCAAAAAAAAGTGTGCTTTCATATTGATGTATCTTTTTATGTATTTAGCGCCCCTTTATAACATATGCTCCAGGCCCCGCACTAGCTTAATCCGACACTAAGCTCTCCCCATATCCGTGTTTCACGTTGTTTGTCTCAATGTAGGCGAACACGGTGTGTGTCTCTTGTCAGTGTCTCTGTCTCTATCGTCGACATCTTTCTCTACAACTTTGTGAGTCTCTAGCAATGAATCTATCTAGGCGTCTTCATCTCTCTCTCTCGCTGTGCCTTTCCCCGTCTCGGCGCCTGTCACTGTTGATCACAGTTGTGGATTGCCAGGTCTGTCTCATGGTCTTCCTCCGTCTCTGTGTCGAATCGTCTCCAACCCTCTCTCCGATATGTGCATCTCACTGTCTTTGTCCTCCGTGTCTTTCTACTCTGTCTCTCTCTCTCTCACCGTGTGTCTCGCTCCGTGTCTCTGTCTCTATCTGTGTCTGTCCCTTTCTCCCCATGAGCCCAGGGCTTCCACTCAGCGTTGAGAGGGGGTTGGCCACTTGATTCGAGTTTCTCACAACCAGTGCAGGCAGATCCGTTACTTCCCAATGTGAAGCCGTGAAGCAAAATAAATGACGCTATAATTACTTGGGATTAAAATCAAACCTAGATTCCACACCACTGGTGTGTTGGGAGGGAAAGACGAGACAATCGGGTTAAGGCAAAGTCATATTTCGTTTGGAGACAAACGCAGCTCCATTGTTGTTGCAGCCTTAGCGACGTGGAGTCTAGACGCCGCAGAGAAATCAGCCACATTTCTGAGAAATCTTGCCGCTTTCCTGCTGCGTCTTGTTACGAAACAAAAATCCCTGAGAGAAAAATAATAATAACCATATATCACCGGCACTTCTCTTTAAGGTAACAGTGGTTATCAGACTTAGTGTGGCATCATCGGGGCGAGTTTATGCTTGAGTTTGCTGAAGACGTCTGGCCCCTAGTCACTACTCATGTGGTCAGTAGCCCTGAAAGACAATAATTTAACAAAAAAACTCGAGAAAATAAACGGGTTTAATGTAATAGTTTCGACGGAAACACTCGCGTGAAACTGTAGTACAGTGTTCATGTGAAACGAAACAAAGCTGCCATGCTATAGACATCCTGGAGTCCCTGCTACTGTAGTTTGATGGAGTTGCTTTAGTGTGTATGTTGAACTTCTTTCACACCGTACGTTGCCAGCCGCGCTAATCGGAGATGCGGGAGAAGGACGACAGACTAATACACAAAAAACAGTTAAAGATAAATACGTTTTCAAACTGGATGATTTAAAAGTGCATAGCTCACCGTGGCTTCTTAATATCGCAAGAAAGAGCGTTCCAGACGGTCGCAGAAGCACATTTGAAAGCGCGCGATGCGGTGACCCTCTTTGTTCGATGGCGAGCCAAAAGTTTGGCTGTTTTAGCGGAAATACCAAGTGAATTTACACTGAACCTTAAGAATCTTCATCACAGAGTATTACGTAAGAAACCTGCAAGTGATCCTCCCGAGTTTGATTCGTGACCACCACGAGCACCCTCCATCAGTGGCGAGCGATGTCTGAACCAGTCATGTGGTAGCAGGGGCCACAGCTGCATTTTATTGCATTTCTGTACAGCCAGCAATGAAAACGCCTTAACAGCAGAGCACGCGTTTGTAATAAACACAGCAGTTACACAGCAAGGCTCTTAAGATACAGAACTGGGCAGAACTTGTGAACTGGCCGTGCATTGCCAACAGCTCAACATATTCCACGAATGCAGCCACCCAACCAATCGCGTTGTTTGCGATGTGACGTGTGTTTTTAATTCTCAACTAATTCAGATTTATTTGGTCATTCAGCTTCCACGCAGCTTAAACGCCACGCAATGCAGACACATAGCGATCCTACACAAAGAAAGTTCACCCGATTGATTTTGAACCGAGGTTAATTTTTGTTATATTTACAACAGAAAATGTCTTCTGAGTTGTTTTTCTTTTCCGCTAACAGTACACCCGAATATTCTGGTCACTAGCTTTGAATGTGACGTTCAAAATCAATACGCTGTCTGCCTGGGGAAGTGACCGCTTGGGAGTGGAATCCCATGGGAGAAACTCTAGAGATTCTGTGAAACATTTCCAATAATGTAACAGCTGCGTACCAGAGGCGGCAGATGCAGTCGTGAACGTGGCTTTAAAAAAAAATCTAAAGCTCGCTAAACCAGAGCCCCATCAATTTTCAAAGGAAAGCCTCTCGAGAAACATCTTCTCACTTTCTATCATCCACCCAGGATGAGAGGGGACTCACAGGCAATATTTTTGTGACACGAGTGGTAGGTTTTGTCGTTTAATTCAAGGTAATGTGGTATTTATTAAAAAAACGGAACACAGTTTCGCTTGTATATAGGTGCTCTTCATGCAGAGCATCCCAGGATGCATCACGACTCTTGACAATACAGAAAACCCCGAATGGCCACCACTCCAACTCAGGGATGAGTAAATGTCCTTTAAGTTTTGACTGAAAATATTCGACTGTGCATGCATTCTTGGGATGGGGCTCGAAAGGCAGGGAGAATAACAGCTGCAGATGCTTGCCTGTCCCTTCTTGATGTTTGGTCACAGCACAAACACAAACGTCACAGCACCAACACACAGTTCACAACACCTGCAGACCCATCACTTGCAAAGCGTTAAAAAGGCACACTTGCAACATTTTTTTACCAGGTGACCACCAGAATGAAGTCACCTGTTTCACAGCTGATAAAACACGTAACCGTTTATATGCAGTGAAGCACGTGAACTTACGGCGGTACCGTTGGGGATAACTAAAATCTTAACTGACGGTAACGATTTAGTTGTGTTTCTGCATATTGTTTTAAGATGCAGTGTTTTACAATGATTATGACGCGTTCCTTTTTTACGTAATCGTGAGAAGCTGGATATCTTTAACACGTGCCTCCTCAGTAGAGCGAGGATTTATCCACAACTCTGGCTGCCGCCTGATGATGCTGGTGGTAATTATCGGCGAAACGTCACAGTACTTCAATTGTAAATGTTGTGGGGTTACTCTCCAACACACCGGTGTAGTGCTGAACTAGTAGTGAATTACCACGTTTGTATTTACGTGACAAACCTTACTAATTGGCTGTGTCGGGTGGTGGCGGGTTTAACAGCACATTTAAATATTTACGCGATCTAACCCAAACACCTCTCTTATGGATAATATTGGTCGTGAAAGCCTACCACGTGTTAAACGAACATGCCCGCGGCCGAATCACGCAGCGATTCGGCCGCGGTGTGGACAAGTTGTTACGATTCAGGGAAATAATTCGATAAACTTCCTTTTCGTACAATTTTTGTAGTGGGTAAATAATTGGAGAACTTCTTGCGAGGCAACACGATATTTATTCGCAATCTGGGTACAGGTCCCTAACACGAAGGGGTAACGGCCCCTTCCACCCGATAGCTAAGGAGGTGAATGGCCTCCGGGCTACACGACTGCCTAACACGGGGACCACCCTGCACGTCTTTGTATCCCTCCGGCTAGGGGGCTCTAGGGGGCTCTAGGGGAGGCTATCCCGACCCGACCGTGCCAATGTGTACGGGTCCTGACCTCTGGTCCGCTCAGACCCGGCCCTGAGAAGGACATCGGGAGAGGGGAGCCCCAGGGTTTCACCACTGGCCACACTCAGCTCCGGCCCTGAGAAAGGGCAGCGGAGTTTGTGGTCCAGGTCCTATTCTAGCCCCTTCTCCGGTCTTCGCGCTGGTATGACTGAGCCGGACCCTTGAGAGGTCCGGCTTATATACCGGTTCGTGGCTTGCTCCGCCCTAGCCACGCCTCCCTTCCAGAACTTTCTGGAAGGTGACATCATCCCCCGGTCCCCCCTCCCGGGGTCCGGGGATTGTGTCCCAGGATCGGCTTCCCAGGGATTGTAGTTGACCCCTTTGGGCCACGGTCACTAACTCTGGCGTGGCAGCGCTGCCGCCTCCTGTTGACGAGAACGGGCAGCTACCCGCTAACAGGATGGAGAATGCCCATTAATGCCTCGACATTTGTACCACTTTGCATTGTCTCGTACCGTTTTGTTTGTATTGCCTCGTTTGTTCAGTTTTTTTTCCTATTCACTCCATAATCCCGAGTGTAACACGGCATCTAACTTGCATACACCTGTACAGAGGTATTCGATTATTGCGTGCACAATTAGATGCATCTACTGTGAGCATAAGAAATAGATTTCAATCAATCAATGCATCATTAAATGTATAGCTTTGTATTCAGTAGTAAAAGTGAGATTATATTAAGGACACGTACATGTTTTTTTAAACGATAAATATTTTGATATAATCATTTTACTTTATATTCAGAACGTGATGGTATAGTTATGCCTTAACATGAGGAACACAGTGAACAAATCAGATCCTCATTACTTACAGAAGACACTGACCCAACAGAGCATCACGGCACTGCCACTTCTACAGGTAACCCACAGCATGATCGAGGATCGATGAACTTCTGCTATCGGGACACCAACCTTAACACAGCATCTGCGGTACAACACACGTTTACTGCAGTAACATCCGCAGATCGGTCAGATTTTGGACACGTGTTAATAATGTTGGTACCCATCACACACACCATGCGCACCGAACGATTACTCCACTTCAGACATTTATTGTGCAGCTTCATGGCCAATCTGCAATGCCTCCGTGATGTCCCTGACTCCAGCTCGGTCACGCGGTTCTCCGCTCTCCAAGCTTCCGTTGGGATCACTCGCCTAATGGGTCTGCTTCTCAGAGAACTATCAGCAGTGTCTGTCTTGCTGCCCTTGAATCGCTTGGCCCACTCTCACACGCGAAGTCGTCGTCCTTGTATCCAAGACACAAGCTCCGATAAACCTCAGCAGCCTTAAATGCCAACGATCACTGTAACTTCGGGCGCAGATTTCTGTCCGAGCATATCCACTCACGACCACTGGACCACCTCCACAGGTGACATTATTTGACACCGCTGTATGCAACAGGCAATTTTATCAGCATTATGGACTTTCCATAGCGCATACTGTGCTTGCACATTGTATAAGAAAATAGACAAAAAAGTTAATAATTTGCTTTGATAATTTCAAGACAGTGGTGACAATTGATATTAAAACACTTTAGCAGATGTGATTGTTAAGTAATTTTTTGTTCCATGTCAGAATCCACAACACCCGCGCAGATGGCAATGTGGGATCGTGCCTCACAATTACAAGTCCAAGGATTACCTCGGCTCATCACGCTCCAACGCACTCATCCACAATACATGTTTCTTCAAACCAAGTGTCTTTATTCAACAATGTGTGTATATGGGGGGGGGGGGGGTCATCTCCTATAGCAGCCCTGAAACCGAGGGTGGAAATTCCACATTCCTTTGGTGAAGAAAAGTCTCTACATAGAACAACCAATGCTAAATAGCCACAAAGTGGTGTTTATTTTACACACCTTGAAAGACTGAAGGGTGGAGTCGATGACCACCGAGTGGGACTTCAACTCTTGACCTTTCTATTGTGAGTAGACCACCTTGTCACAGAACCCCCTGGCCGGATATTATATGATTGTAAAAAAAATAACCCGAACAATATGTGGATACGACTTTTTATAAATATTTAGTTTCCCTAAAATGTTTAAAAGACAATCTCTGCATTGCATAACGATTGCATAATACGGCACCGGTTATCGGAATCACACAAATGCCTTCATCGAGACTGGGCGGTGGTGCAGTGATTGGCGCACTGAATCCTGAAGCGCATGACCCCCGAGTTCGAATTCCTGGCCGGACACCGCCTCTCATCAACCCGAGCTGATGTGCCCGCGCGACGTACGATCAAACAATCTCCACAGTCTCAAGCCGTGTGAAGGGCCTCCCATCTAGCCACGTGTGGACACTATACAGCGGGCCGCGCGTATGCCGTGAATACACGTCGGTACGATCATTGTAACCGAGTGAAAAAAACTTAGCGATTGAACTCTGGTTCCCAAATGGAACTGCCTCGTTCTGTATACAGTGTCGGTGTCAAATGAGCATGCTCTTATTTTTCGCGTACAATAACGTGGCACACGCGTCAATGGGGTAACGCACACATTTGGAAACTTGGCTGTGACGGTTGCCAATGAATGGGACTTTGTGCAGCCCGTGAACCCTTCTCTGTCGTTAACAGCAGCCGGTAGGTAACCTCCCTTCTTGGCGGACAGTTATAAAGGAACACTGATTTCGACGACGAAAGAGTCACTTCAATTGAGCACCACTGGAAACTGGCTGCAAACGTATTACCCCATAGCTTCCCGCTACCACCAATGCCAACAGACTGGGGTGAGTGAACCGGCGAGTGTGAAGCGGCAGTTCTAATCGCTGAACTACGACCTCACACCGGCCCCTAGCGAACGAGCGGCAATTGGCAGCTGGCGTGGGGCCGTTTCCTTGGGCCGACTCGACCTGAATTTGAGTATCTGGCAGCCGTGCGTGAGAAAAAAAAAGAAAACAAACCAAGCGTGTCGACAATGGCTGTTGAAACCACATTTTGAAGCCTATACAAGTCGTGGCAGAGACACCCCGGGGTTAACTAAAGCCCGAACGTTACAAGCACAACGCAGCATGTAACGACAGACGACACCGCCAATTCGTGCATTGAGCATCCTACCACTGCATATGCAATACAGATCCGTGCATAGCCGTGCTCTCTCCCTTCGTAGGGAACAACTAGTGGTATTATTGAAAGACATCTTACATAATAATAAAAACACTGGTGTAACAAAGGAAACTCTCAAGGCATTCCGAGTGGAACGTAAGCGGTTGAAGAGAGCCTGGTTTTTATAACCCTTGAAATAATTCTGCACCGAACTAAACATTTCCGCTAAGAGAAAAAAATTGCGTCCCGCTTCAATTCCGTGGGAACGTGGTATTGCCTGGCCAACCACAGGTGTATCTGCGGGTCAGAATCAAGGGGGCTTTTGGCTGGGTTTGATTTGTGGCTAGGGACGATGAGGCCACAAAAGTTGGTTCATCAACGACAAAACAATTTGTCATCGGCCCCTTTTTTGCAGGCGACTACACTCGGGCCCCTTAAAAAAGTTGACCGCCCGCCAAACACCCAGCCTAATGAAGGCAGGAAACCCCCAGCTGATGATGAGTCCGTCACTTACCCTACTTTCCACAGTGTTTTTCCAACCAAATATTTTCACGTAATCCGATTCGTCGAGTAGTCGCACGATAATCGTTGGAGTAGTCGATCATTGACATAATCGGGATAGCTCAGCTGTAGTTCGATTCAATAGTTTACCAGAGCACACGCGGCCACACGTTAGCCACTGCTGGATTGTATACATCACCTGAGAATTATATTCGTGTATATATACAGTGAGCGCCTAATGGATAAACATTGACTCACTCACTACCTTTTCAGAGGTTTTTTTTTGGAACGTAGAGTATAATTTGAAATATGTATTGGCATAAACAAAGACAGAAATGTATACGCCTATTCATGTTTTCGTCTGTGGAGTTTCAAAAAAAATTCTCAAAATGTTGGTAGAAAACATACAAATCCAGATTAAATATTTAACACTTATTTTCTACACTATGTGGATATGCTTGTCAAAGTACCTTTCTGATATCCCACCTAATTCTACTTGCCCACTAAATGTTTATTGGCATTATATTGCTGCATTAAACATTAAAATTGTATAGTACCATAAAATTGTATTGTGCATTCAATTATTAAAGAAACATCTTTGGAGGGCAGATTACTGAGACAGGTATGAGAGTGAGCACCCAAAGGCTGGAGACAAAGCATACGGTCTCAAGCCAGATCGTGGCATACTTTGTGTATAACCACTGCAAGGGAAGTGGGATCTTGTGGAGAGAAGCAATGGCAAGTCGTGGTGGTATCAACAGCATTGGCCATGATAAACTCTTTTTTTAATTAAGGCATCAATTTGTATCTCTTGCAGAGCAGTGCAACAACGGCCCCATGGAAGTGGCTACCACAGAGCTACCTCTGATATGTCTTCAAGTGACCTATCGTCCATACGGTAGGAAGCAGCATTTTCCCACCTGTCTTCAACTGAGAGTAATGCTCATGAACCATCAACTCTCTACACTTGAGAAGCTGATTTAATCATAGGCCTGGAGTTGAACCCACGGCCTCAGTGGTTGCCAGCTCAGTGCTCTGACCTCTAAGCAATCCGGTCACCCCCGCTCGTCGTGACCTCTTAACCTTGACGATTAAAATCCACATACAAAAATAGTAATAAAAAATTACGCTTTCACATGGGATGCGGTCGGTTAGCCCAAGACCACGTTGACTGGCAGACCAAAATAACAACAAGAATTCCAAGTTTATGTTTCCGCTTCTCTTCTACAACACTAGGTCAACAATAACGATGATAAGCAATCCAATGTTGGGACAATATTGATGCGCAGTGATGCTAAAAACGATTCCAAATGTATTGTAAAATGCTCACAAACGCTACTCGGTATTTGCTGTATATTCTTATACTATCCGGTAGCATTTAACAGGCAACACCCTGCTGATGATACTCAGTAAAGCGAATCCTTGTGAAGGTCGGCCCGAACAACACTAATTTTACTGGGATAACATTGATCCGTAAGGAGCTTTGTTTCGTTGAACACATGTTGCTTCATATCGGTAATTACGTTTGTCACAAAATCAAAACGTGGCACCATTCATAAAAAAAGTACAAACTCTCTGTATTCAGCCACTGATAACACCGGTCAAATTATAACGCTTTTCTTTCTTTCCTGCCCTTTTTGACGGCCGTATTTTTGGCAAAACGCTCTTTGCACAACGTTTATATATATATGTAAAAACAAAAGAGAAATGGTACCAACGAGATATGAACGTAGACACACCAAAAAAAAAGCACAAACACAGGCTTCGTTCTAATATGCGGCCGTCGTAATGCCGCTGGCCTGGTTGGCTCCAGCTAACCGCAACACGCGGCAGCAGCAGCAGTCCTTTAGGCAGAAGGCCCACCGGCATGTGTTCAGGTCAATTTACACTAGAAAAAACAAACGGAGCAGACGCACCATTGGAACCTCATTTGCCAGTAAAAAATATGATAATTAGTTTTTTACCCTTCTATCTGGCAACAAAACTGACACCTTTTTTAGGAGCAGACGCAATCGCCCATTCTCAACGACCCGCGTGAAAACACGGCGGGCGATCGGGGGGGTGGGGTGGGGGTGAGCGACCTCCACGGGACCACCTCGGCCGAGCCGCACCAGAGAGGGGGGCATACGGGGGTGAACGTGGCGACCCCGCATTCCGCCCCCCCGAAACGGAACGCTCCGCCTTCCCGCGTCACACCCAGTACTGGTTCTTGCGCAGCGAGGGACTTGTGGCTCGGCAGTACTGCAGCATGTCGGCGTTGAAGTGGCACCAGGTGTACGGGAGGGCGGTGGGACTTGGGGGTGGTGACGGGTTTGCCCGGGCATCCGCCACCATGGCCGCCACGATGTCGGCCTCCGCGGACGGCGATCCTCCGCCGCCGAGCGCCGTCACGGTGACGGTGGGCACCGTGGGGCTCCTCTCCGTGTGGCCCACTGTGAGCAGGCGGCTCGGGCCCAGGTTGTTGGGCTTGAGAGCCCGGAAGCCCTTCGCGACGTCGCGGCTCCTCCTCCTGGCGATCGCCAGCAAGGCCAGAGCCGCGATGATCGCGAGCGCGACGGCGGCGACGACGACGGGGACGATGACGTTCAGGTTTCCGCCGCTGCCCTCGTCCACCGACTCCGCCGCCGCCCAGTCCAGATCGGGCAACGACGACGACGGGCTGGGATCTAAGGCGTCGTCGGGGTCGGCACTGCTGTTTTTGTTGCGATTGCCCCAGCGATCCGAAATTTTGTTCCTCCATCGGGGTGCAGGCCTTCTGGCCGGAGCCTCGCTGTACGGGGACACGGTCGCATTGAATGGCGACGCCGCCTCCTCCGTGGCCACGTTCGAGTCCACGGCAGTAGCGCCTCCCGTGACAGGGGGGGTCACCGACGAATCGTGTTCTGAAAGTGCTTCGAGGTGCGACGTTATATTGGGCAACGCGGAAGGATCTAGAGGCACTATGCTGTACGCAAACTCACCCGCCGCTGGCTGGACCCCCTCTGCTCCCAGCACAAACCTAAAGGAATCGTTTGCTTGACGCGCATCCGTTAGGTTTACGTCGTCGACTTCCAGGAGGACGAGCCCCATCTCGACGTCGCTCTGGGTGAAACGCGTCACCCCCCGTGCGTCCCGCTTTCCGCGGAGCGAGCGGCGCGCGAGCCGGCCGTGCCGCGGCGGCCGTAGCACCTCGTAGTGCGGCATGTGACCCGTCAGGTTCGCCAGCTCTCGCGCGTCCAGCATGTCCAGACTCACGGGGGTGGCCGCTCCAGCGGGTAGTGCCAGGTCCGCGGGAATCTTAACCAGGGGCATCACCGCAATCTTGGCAACCAAGCCCGTGACGTTGCTCTCGGTGGTGAGGGCACTGAACTCGAAGTCGTCCTCGGATGCCGACATGTTGGTCATGCGGTAGGCCAGCGAGCCCGCGTCGATTTCGGTTTGCGGGAAGGTGTCCACCCTGCTGCCGTTGAGCAGCAAGAGGCCGGCTTGCGGCCCGCGCGTGACCAGGTACGTAATCTCGGCGCTCTGCCCGTTGGTCTCGCCCGCGAGGTGGCCGCGCGTCACCACGATCGTCGCTTGGCCCTGCACGAGCTCCACCACGCTGTGGTTCACCAGCCGGATGGACAGCGGCTCCACCGCCAGGTTAAAGAGGGTGAAGAGCGGGCGGTGGACGCCGTCCGTCACGCGGAAGTAAAAGACGCCGGACGCGGGACTCCCGTCCTGCACGAACACCACGCGGCCCGCGTCCACGTCCGCCTGCGTGAACTCGCTCACGGCGACGCTCGGGCTGTCGTTGAACGCGACGCGCCCGTTGTTCGGTCTGCTGATGATTGTAAACTTTAATTCGGGCGCCGGATTATCCAGGTCGACGACTTTCAGGTTGCGTTCGGATATCGTGGCGGTGAAGCCCTGCACGACGCTCAAGCCCGGCGTCTTGGTCTTGAGCTCCGGCGCCTGGTCGTTGACCGGCAGCACGTCGATGAGGAAGACCTCCTCGACGACGAGCGAGTCGCCGACGTCACTGCTGCCATCCGGTCGGCCGGCGCGTTTGTTTTTGGGGTTGGGAAACGCGACGAAGGTGAAGTTGTCGCGGGCGTCCTCCGAGCCGTCGTGCCGATAGCGCAAGCCGTGGCGGTCGAGGTTCGCCTGGGAGACGTACGGCTTCTCCTTGGTCACGTTGAAGCTGCCGAGCCAGAGGAAGCCGTGTCGGGGCAGGACGGTGACCTGCAGGTACACCTCGTGCGAGCCGCGCTGTTCCTTCGCGAGCTTGGCCAGCAGGTTCGAGGCGTCCAGGTTCGACTTGTTTATCGCCACTTCTTGGCCCTCCACCACCGTCGCTCCTGTCAACACGTGGACAACGAGGGACGTGATGTCAAAGGGAGCGTAAGAACACGCGGCTGAATTGGGAAACACATTTCCGCAGAGAAACACCCCGATAGAGCACTTGAGCAGTCACGGTTGCTCCGACAAGTGTCCCTCGATGGTTTACGTGAACGTTACGTAGCTCAAGAGTGGCGGACGTGACACCTTCGTCACAGGCAGCACGACTGTGTTGGCTCTGGAGCGTTACACCGCTTACAGGTTTTACGTTGGGAGTACGTGGATGTATGTGTGCGTGTGTTCACGGCATGCGTTTATAGTGCCAACGCACTACGCCACGTATTTGGACGCCTACGTTAAAACTCCTGGCTAGGGCAAATGTCAGTGGGTAAAGTAGTGTCTGGGACTCCCCTAGGTTGACTCAGTCTTAAACGATTAAACGGTGTCTAAACAGCACTGGGGAGACGAAGGAAGCTGGCACATTGTAGACTGCACCGTCAGACAGGCAGTAATAGCTGCGAGTTACTCGCAATTGCCCTCCAGTCTACAAGGCTCAACAGGGGAGCTGTTTTGTGTATAAATTAACGGGTTATATATGGATGGTTGTAGTCACTCGCCATTGTCCAAGTAATAAAAGTGCACGTAACATGTGCCTGTACTCCGTCACAAATATGGTCCTGCCCTGTGTAAACACGTGCAAAGTGAAGTACAGTTTCATACGTGGCGTCACCCAAAAATCTATTATGAATCCCGTATCTTACATTACAATGATACTCACATACATTCTCTGTACACTGCGGACGTACAGCTATATTACTAATAATTTTTCTAACATTTCAATGTACATTACATTTAAACCTAAACATATACGTGTTTTATTTCCACCCGACCTCGTGCAAACACGTCGTTGGTGGATTAGAGAAAAATGAACACGAGGAGTGAGGCGACTAGTGTCTTTACACGTTTAAAAATGTTCCCTAAGGAAGCGCACCATCGCATGCTGCACGTGTTAAGGTCGGATGCCGTGCTTAGGGCAGTTTGGGACAGCGTACATAATTTAGCGGTTGCAGCAGAAGGTGTAACAGGACCCTCAATCGTCTGGATAAAGGTCGGCTACCCTCCCGCAAGGAACGACACTGCCCGGTGGTCCAGCGCTTCGTAGAATTCGTCGCTGCCTCATCTCTGCCTTTGTAAACCACGACAGGCAGGAGATATTCTCAATCGGCAGAGAATGCTGGTTGAGGATGCTATTCGCGATCCACGATCTTGCTTCTTGGCTACAATATCGGTTGAATTGTGCGCTGCAAAAGAAACCCTCTTTCTGGTGAACTTATTAAATCACAACAACTGACGCAATGAAATAAACTCTGCTGCCATTCTCTCCCCCACCCCTGCTAGCTATTTCATGAACCTCGTTCTCCGCCTCCATAAAGGGATCCGCACTGAATGGTCTCACACCTATCTGGTAATTTTTGGCCTCCGAGAGGAGGTTTGGTATTTCTTTCAGCCGCTCACGGTTGGCTCAACAACCCATTGCTGAAAGGGAGCCCACTGCTGGCAGACATCTACAGCATTCGTGCATTGGCAGGCTCCTCGAATGCCCAGCGATCATCCCACATTACGGCGATGACCAATCGCCTGCAACCCCCATGGTTCAGGGCCCACAACCCGCGTAATTATCTTCGATAGTATCCCTCATTTACCCACTGCCACTACTGCTCCTGGTCAAGGTCTCTTCAAATAGGCCCAACAATTTTCTGCGCACGAAGGTCCGTTTTTTTCTTTGCCTTCATTTGGCATTGGCGTTACTCTCGTGACTGACGACCTCGTTCATAATATTTACCGTGTCGCACATAAATTAACGAGCGCAGGACACCGAGTTCGCGTGCGAGCGTGAAGTGACGAGGCAAAAACCGAGTAAACTTTTCAGAGTGCCACCATCCTCAAACGAGCATTGGTGCCATGCTCCTTTCCATTGGAGATCCTGTGCCACAAGTGGGCAGTGTCGCATTTCCACATGTCTTCTTGGTGTGACGTCAAAGCAGTGGTAACACGTGGGGAGGTCTTGCAGAAGAACAGCCGATTTACATGTACGTTTTTTTAAAGTTATGCGTTTGCAATTTATTACGTGTGCGTTTTACAACAACAAAACCCATCCAAAATACATAAAAAATTTTTACAAATTAACGAGATTAAACCCAACATTGGCAAATTAATCATGCCATAACCTGGGGCTAATTCGAAATCCGTTTTTTCAATTTCTCTTGCAAAGATGTATCTAATTATTTATTTGGATTTTATACATATCGATCGCGACCCATTTTGTCAAGATGCTCTTGACGTGCAGATGCAATATGTAAAAATCCAAATAGCTGTAGTTTTGACAAAATCGGGATACAAAAAACTCACATTTTGCTCTTGAGCAAAAAAGGGGAAAATGTTCCAGTTACATAACGGTGGCACGTGACAGCGCATTTCATGCCCGGCACAGGAAGTGATGAGTGCAAGAGAGCATGGAGCAGAAGTCTAGCGCGTGTGGTTTTGCGTTGGCTTACTTCTCGACGCATATGGGTTTAAGCGATGAACGTTCGAACTATTAAAGAAAAAACTTTATTTTACCAGATTAGGCCCACTGAGCTATGTAGCTCTTTTTCAGAAGCGACCTGGCCACAAATGACAGCTCAATGAAGTGGTTTATCATGTGGAAATTTATAGCAGCCAAATACTCAAAACGCATGTTTCTAAAGGTGGAAGGAAAAACCGGAGGACCCAGAGAAAAATCCACGTGGTCACGGGGAAAACATGCAAACAGAGTTGGGATCGAACCCACGACCTCCTGTATACCAGGCGAGGTAGTTAACATCTTACTACCGTTCTGCATTTCTCATGCCTGTGAGCGCACACCAAAGCTAATCATTTTATTCGTAATTAAAATTATTATTGTGCAAGGATATATTTCTAAATAGTATTTGAATGAAATGAAAATCTCCGGACCTTTAATCAGGTCAAGTAATATTTTTTTTATATAAACACGTGGTGCCTTCTGGCACAAATCTGCCAACCAAAAGCGCCATCACAACAGTACCCATAAACATAACAATAGACAATTCCATACAGTGAAAGAGAGAAAACAATATGGATAGTTGTTTATAATAATCAAATAAAAGCAAGTTGTAGCTGTGACTTAGTTGTTGTATGTGGTGACGTGCAGAAGTTAAATTCGCGAGCACATGCAGTTTTAACGAAACTGAGATCAAATAAATTCCCAATTTCCGTCATGAACATAACAAAAATCTCTGAGTATTTGCTGTGGGACAGCGCCACACAGTGCTGGATCTCGGGAAGTGATTGCTGCGAGACGCATTGAGCGGATAGCCAATCCTGAAATTACTGCCAAAAACTATCGCTCGTTCGCTCGTGTCTCAGTCCGTTTGTCTGGTGAGGGTCGCGGCGGCAGCGTGTTGAGTAGTGGCGGTCCACACCTCCCTACTACACTATACACTACACTATACACTACACTATACACTACACTATACACTACACTATACACTACACTATACACTACTACACTATACACTACTATACACTACACTATACACTACTATACACTACTACACTATACACTACTACACTATACACTACTACACTATACACTACACTATACACTACACTATACACTACACTATACACTACTATACACTATACACTACTACACTATACACTACAGCACCGCGTTGAGTAGTGGCGGTCCACACCTCCCTACTACACTATACACTACTACACTATACACTACTATATACTACTACACTATACACTACTACACTACACACTACTACACTATACACTACTATACACTACTACACTATACACTACTACACTACACCCTACTACACTATACACTACTACACTATACACTACACTACTATACACCGACTCTTGCTCTTCCTGGGGAATCCCCAGACGTTCCCAGACCAGCCGAGCGTGTCCTGGGCCGGCCCCGGGGTCTTTGCCCATTACATACAGTATAATAATAATTGTAAAATTAATTACGAGTAATAGCATTACTATTATTACTCAAATGCTCGTGCCATGGCTAAGTAATTGCTCTTATTATTCGCAACAATACTGCTACTGATTATACATAATTAGTAAAAACAAAAATCCCTGGCCTAAGTCACATTTGACCTTGTTTACGAATCGGTGTAAGTGCAAAATGCCCCAACAGCCAAAGCAAAAGCAATGTGTCAAGGATCCAAAGAGTAGTTGGAGAAATGTCCCAAGCCACTTGTCATGGCTTCCTTTGCTGAAGAGTTAGTGATCACAACCGCACATTAAGATCTCTGATGACAGTTCCACATCTTGCGACTGTGTTTATCTTCTTGGTTCTTTCGGTAAAGTCACGTGTTTATGTCCCCGTCGCCTGCGCTCTACACCGTTTAACACACTACGGCGTGGTAGTTTTTTTACGTGCAAGTAGAATTTTTTGCCAACGTGCATAGACGAGGAAAATAACACCGGATGCAGAACACAATGCGGTCTGCGTGACAAAGGCGACGCTCGGCACAAAGTGTCCCGACAAAAACAAGCACGATGCAAAAGCTGTCCCGCACACTTTCTGTCGTAGCGTCTCGTGAGCAAAAATCAACGATGACAAGGACCTGCCCTCTCTGGAGAGATAAACAAGTAGAGCTAGATGTGTCCTTACAAGGATTCAAATGGATGGACGTGATGTAATTAATCGGCATGTTCTGTTTATGTGCCAACCAATACTAGTTGGCTGTGTCGGGTGGTGGCAGGTTTTAACGACGCATTTATATATTTACGCGATCCAACCCATAGAACCTCTAGTGTGAATTGTACATACTTTACAGAGGGCGTTTCTGTGTTGCAGAGGCTTCACTGACGATGTTTGAAAATTTCTCTCTATTCTTCACCCAATATTTGTTTTTGTTAATCCTCGGGGCTCCACAGAGGGAACATTTTACAAGCCTCTGGCCCCGGTCTACAATGGGATTTGCAGAAAATAAAATGACAGCTTAAGGAAAGGGGAGGCCTTGACAAAGCAGTCGATTGACCATGGCTAAAGAAGACTGATGATGGTAGAAAGTGAAAATCTGGTGCATATATTATCAGAGCATGTTTGTGTGCATGTTCACCACAAGTACTGCGTGTGGTTACTGTAGACTTGATGCCTTGCAAAAGGTATCAAAGTGGTGTTTGAGCATCTTAACACCTGCCTTATTGCTGTATAGGGTAAAACCTATTATTATTTTTCATACTTTGACATTGGCGAAAAGGTCCCATAGAGATAAAACTGAATATGATTTATTGCTCCGACGATACCGAAATATGCCCCCGCTACTGAGACACGAGGGCGGTGGATCGTTCAGTGGTCGGCATGTGTTCGCATGAACGCGCTGCGATCTTCGCGCACAGTCACCTGTTCATAATCAAGTTTTTGGGTTTAGATCGCGTTATTTATAAATGTGCCGTAACCCTCCACCACCCGACACGACCAATCAGTAAAAAAGTGGCACGTTGACGAAAGACTGATTGGCCGTGTCGGGTGGTGGAGGGTTACGACACATTTATAAATAACGCGATCTAAACCCAAAAACGTTGATTATTAATAATATTGGTCGCGAAAGCCTACGTGTTAAACTGACGGTCACCTGTGTTGGCGAGCAGCACGCCGCTCCTCCCGGCCGCGTTGTCAAAGGACACGCTGATGTGGAAGGTCTGTGCGGGCAGCTTGGAGGGCGTTGACGAAGCCTGGAAGACGAAGGAGTCTGTGGTGCTCCACTGCCCCATGTCGCCTCCCCGATGTTCGTACGCAATCAGTCCCTCCGCCACCTGGCCAATCACAAACGCCGCTCCGATCAGCGCGGTTGGCTACGCACGGTGCGAAAGAAGTTGAACATACATGCATACATAAGTTGCACTTTGGCTACCGCTAGATGGATCGGGGCGTTATCACACCGGTACTGTTGCCTTTTCGCAGAATGAAATCTGAACAAACTGTCACGTGGTTACGAGACATTTCACCCACAACGAACTAAAGGTGCAGCCCTGCAATGTCTTTGCTCACGCCACTGCGGGCAGAAGGACCTCCAAGATAGCGAGGCTCTAGAGGGCCCCCGATAGAGCGTTTGCTGACCTACTCTTTGACCTCGTCAGACACCTTTGAGGAAGGTGGTGGCAGCACCCACGCTTTAACTCGCCACACGTGACACGACTGTTTGCGCACCCATTGATATGGATGTATGTGTGTATGCGGGTGGGGGGGTGGGCATTTAAGAAACCTCCCCATTGTTTCAGTGGGAGATCGAGCCGGCGACATCACCTCTGGATTAGAGTTCGGTGTGCTAACCCGATGCACCGGCGGCAGCATCCCCGTATTATTTTTTTCCAAAAGTATTTTATGAACAAAACGATATCAGGTACACAAGACAGAGGATATGAAGGGGGGGTTGACACCAGCACCAAACAGATTTCGGATTACAGTGCAATGGAGACCGGTCTGACCCACATGTTTCAATAAACTGCTTCAATAAACTCTACAACCCCGTGGTGTCTTCCGAAGCTCCAATACTTCTGTAGAAGAAGAAGAAAAAAGGGAGGGTGGGGGAAGGAGGGGGAGTGCCTAAATGCCCTCATGCAGCATCCCCATAATTTAAAGAGACACATTGAATGGCCAGTAATTATGCCCCGAAAGGCCCAAGCAGAAATGGCTTCGGGTTTGCGCTTTTGTCAAACTGCAGTGGAGTGCTGCAGCCGCCCGCACCTCCGCTTGGGTGAAGCTGTCTACGGCGGCCGTGGCGTTGTTGTTGGCTCCAGTCCGCACGATGCGGCCCAACCCGGGCTTGTCGATCACGGAGTAGACGACGGAGCGGTTGCTGGGGAACTTGTCGTCGTTGGTGACCACCTTGAGGTCCTGCTCAGTGATAGCGTGCAGGGACCCTGGACGGGGAGTGTCGCACACACAGAGAAGCAGAGGCACGCACAGAGCGTCTCGTGACTTGAGTTTACAATTCCCTGGAACGTGCAGCTCGATAGCTTTGCTGTGTGGGCTTTACCTGATAAGATGAAAAAATTGTGTGATAATAGGTTTTTCCACTTTTTTCTGGCAACAGGTGTTAAGATGTTAAAACACCAAACTGAAACCTTTTACAAGGAATTATGTCTGCATTTTCTTGGTTCTTTCGGTAAAGTCACGTAGGAGGGAAGTAATAAAATAATAAAAATAAAACATAATAAAACAATTCTCACGACGTTTCGGCCACAACGCAAGCAGCCGTCCTCAGGTGAAAACCAGGTCCGTCGAGGCGACAGAGTCTGAATGAAACAGCACACGAGCTTGGAGCATATATATAAGCTGGGCGCATTGACAAAGGAATTTGCATATCAAAAGGAATTTAGCATATTTATGGGAAATGCAGGAATGTGATTAGTCCTGCATATGCATGTGCATTATGCAGGATTAACAGCATCAAAGGGAGCTGCAGTTACTGCTGCTGCTGAAATTACTGCTGCTGCTGCAGTTTCTGCTGCTGCTGCAGTTGCTGCTGCTGCTGCAGTTGCAGCAGCAGCAGAAACTGCAGCAGCAGCAGTAATTTCAGCAGCAGCAGTAACTGCAGCTCCCTTTGATGCTGTTAATCCTGCATAATGCACATGCATATGCAGGACTAATCACATTCCTGCATTTCCCATAAATATGCTAAATTCCTTTTGATATGCAAATTCCTTTGTCAATGCGCCCAGCTTATATATATGCTCCAAGCTCGTGTGCTGTTTCATTCAGACTCTGTCGCCTCGACGGACCTGGTTTTCACCTGAGGACGGCTGCTTGCGTTGTGGCCGAAACGTCGTGAGAATTGTTTTATTATGTTTTATTTTTATTATTTTATTACTTCCCTCCTACGTGACTTTACCGAAAGAACCAAGAAGATGAATCCCTGCAGTCACGAAAGCTTTAAATCGAAATTTATGTCTGCATTAACCACAATGCTTGTGGTCAGAATGCAAACAAAAAACACTGATAATATATGCATTGTCCTTGAAACTGATTGGTCCACACCAGAGACAGCTTTTTTTTGAGCCTCGTCTCAAACGGTGTTAGACCAGAGGACGCTAAAAGGCATACTTTGCGCTCCTATCGTGTTTTTGTACTATTTGTTGTAACGTTCTGACCCCGTGTCCCGACTGGACATCTGTGAAAAGAGCTTTATAGCTCATCGGATTCCTCTAGGATACATAAATATTCTGATTCTGATGTGTTCCTCTAATCTCATTGAAAATAAGAACAGAAGACTTATATATTCTTGGTTCTTTCGGTAAAGTCACGAAAGAACCAAGAATATGAATCCCTGCAGTCATGAAAGCTTTAAATCAAAACATAAGACTTGTTTTGTATTTCAGGCTAGCTGTTTGTTATGGTCAAAGGCTCTTCTTGGGAACAGAGAGAGTGGACATGTTGATCGAGCTATAGTTGGGGGTTGCACTTTACAGACATTAGTGTAAAGTGTGACCTTCAGTGATATGTCAATGTATCTGCCCTCTCTCTATCGAGGAAGAAGAGCCATTGTCTAAAATGTTCGACCATTACATAAATCTCCAATTAATATTAAGTTTTAATTGTGAACATAGCGAGTACTTATCATTTTTCTTATTTGTACTTGTGCATCGCTGCCAACACATTTCCTTTCCGCCTTGTTTGATTCAATGAGTTGTCGCACCACAAGCAAAGTAAAATCTAGATAACTTCCTCATTTCTTTTTTTTTCCCAAAAATACATTCGAAGGCAGCAAAGTGTCAACATTCATATGCAGCTCAACGGGGGGATATAAATGGCAGGCAATTTATATATACCACAATTTATTTTACTGAAGCATTTTCGATACATATGTGACGAATATTTGTTTAATCCTGATTTGCTCACGAATATCAAGCTGCTGCTGCTGCTGCCGGATGAACTTTGCTATACGTGTGAAAATAAACGAAACAAAACGTATCATTTTCTGTCGCCATCAACCGTTAGCGCGACGCGCGTGTCCACAAGGGCACGAGATGGGGCGACACTAAGGGCAAGAGGGAACTGAGAGCGTGCCAGGGCCCTCACCAGGGTAGACGCTGAGTCCGTTGTTGACCTCCACACTGAGGACGAGCGGCTTGGCTGTGATGCTGAAGATCTGACGAGCAGCAAAGTTCACTCCATCCGTGACCTGGAAGTTGAATCCTCCAGAGGTCGCTCCTAATGGCAGAGGTGAGGATATGAAATCAAATAAAAAAACGATGTAAGCTTTAATTAAAGCACGTGGGTACAGTACATATAACATAGCCAGCTGGAGTGGCCAGCTGGAATAAGGCATATGTTTATCTAAGTATAGCCGAAGCTCAGCTCAACCACATTGGCAATAGCATCTCTTTGTAGCACAAGACTCCTCTGTGACAGAATCCCTGTCAGAATCCCATTCAATTCAATGCAGATTTTAACGTAGCAATCACCTGGAGAGGAATCGCAACTCCTGTGGGAATCATCCAGGCTGGATTCATATGAATCGAACGCGAATTTCTGCAGGAATCACATCATAATAGTATTATTACAAAGGGCAAACAGGCCCGCACTGGCAATAGGGAAGCAGTCCATCGAGCAAATGGCTGGAGGTTCAGTCCATTCTGAGGGCCAGTGGACCAGACTGTGTGGGAAAATTGCAAATGTGATCAGACTAATAAAAAACATAAAAAATTAAAATATTGTATTACCTCTAATGTGTATGCCTCATTGCTTATTTTACACTCTCAGTTCACATGAAGTCCCCGTATAGTCAGCAGCCGCAAAACATCTTCCTCACCAGCCCCCCCATATGTATTTTTGGACCCAGTCCCAAATGGGCGAACGAGATCCCACGACAATTCGGGCCCAGGTGTGTTTCCAAATTTGCCTTGGGAGCGATTTATAGTCAATAATGCCGCCACTGCGAGCGAGCGACGCAGAGTTCCGTGACGCGGAGGCCTCACCGCGGTGCGCGAAGACGAGCGAGCCCGAGTCGACGTCCGCCTGCGTGAAGTTGAGCACCGGCTGGTTCGGCCGCTCTCGCAGGGCAACCAGGCCGTTGCTGGGAGGGGAGATGGAGTACGCCAACTCTTCCGGGGTGGTGTCTTTGTCCTCCGCCCTCAGGTCGGCTGACGTGATCTCCGTCACGGAGCCTACCCACACCTGCCAACGCATTTGGATGCGCTTATGTTTTTACTTTTACTTTACGCACTCACGAATACCTCCGGTTAGTTCGCCATTGTCCAAGCGCTGGAAAAACCAGAACAAATTTCCACAAAAAGAGAAGGGACTGCCCTGAAATTGCTTGCTACATGCTGCCACCGTTGGTGGAAGGACTTCCATTGGAGGGAGCTCTAGTGACCCCTGTGTTGAGAGTGTTCCGGCTTAACCTTACACGCTGGCCAGACGTCTTGGAGAAAGTAGGAGTACCCACACTTTACCCCACCACACGTAACCTGCCGATCGACTCACTTTGGTGCACCCATTTACACTGCTGGGTAGCAGGCGGGAGGAATGAAGAAACTTGCACCGCTGTTTCAAATGCCATGCCAGGTGATTGACCCGGTGACCTCTGTGGTGAGCAAGTCTGGTGTGCTAGCCAAACCGCTAAAAAATCCAAGCTCTATAGAAAGTAAACCGATTCGTACAGAAAGAACACGAGACAATGTTTATTCAGCCACAGCTGGCAGACGACTCTTTTTGGGGCATGCCACCATCTCTCTCTCTCTGCAGCTGGGGGCTCGGTAAGCAGAACCCGAGGTGTTTCGATGGTAGAATCGCCTGACAATTTGACGCTTAGTTTTTTACTTAAGTGTGATGCATTACGTTTGCACGACATTCATTAACCATTCAATTAATTTGACCCGTTAATTGATGCTAAATTGACCCATAAAACGAAACCAAAATACTCGATGACTCATCCTCCTCTCATCTGCTCAATCAAAGGACACGAATGAAATCCTCACAGCACTAACAGGTATCCACAGCTCTCGGGAACATCCCGCACAATGTAGCCGCGTAAAGCACCAGCGAGTGGCACGGCAGCAAGTAGCATGCGGCTACGCCACCGCGAACTCACGTAGCTGGCCAGCTCCCCCGCGAGGCTCCGCGCGACGACGCCTCCTCACCTTCAGGACCTGGTTGGCGGTGACGACGGGAGGCTCGTCGTTGACGGCGGAAATGGCGACCGGCACGACCGTCGGCTTGCTGCGCTTGTGCAGTTCGTCATCGACGGCCACCAGCGTGAAGTTGTCATCGCGGGTCTCGCTGCCGTCGTGCACGTAGTACACCAGCTCTCGCTCCACCTGCGCAGACGCAGCGGCCGCGGGGGGGGGGGGGGTGGAGGGGGGTGGGGTGGCCGTGGTCATCATCGCAGAGGCCGACGGTGCTGACAACCGTTCCCGATACAAACTAGGGGAGCGGCGATGGAGCGGTGGTTAGCGCACCGCGCCGTTGTGAAGTTACTATTGACTATTTTTTTTATTTACCAGCTATGTGGCTCTATTTTTCAGAAGCGACCTGGCCACGAATGATAGCTCAACGAAGTGGCTTATCATCACGTGCATAATTATATCAGCCAAATACTTCTCCTGCATACCAGGTGAGGTGGTTAACATCTCCCAGCTACCGAGGCGCCCAATCGTCCGAGAGCTTTCCGCCTCGACGACCTCGGCCTCATCACGGCGAGAGGTTCGACGCCGAGGAACGGCCCCCGCACCTGCCGACTGGTGAAGGCGGCGAGGGCCACTCCAGGTTGGTCGACGCCCTCCACGCGCCCGTGCTTGGGCGGCTCGGACACCCGGAACTCGAGTTGACGCCTCGCAAAGTGGGGGCTGTCGGCGGTGACGAGCAAGGCCGCGGAGCCGCCCTCGCGCACCGCCAGCACGCCGCCGCCCGGCAGCCGCAGGGGGATGAGACGCGGCAGGACGTCGACGGCCACCAGCAGTGCCGGCAGTGGCGCCGACACGCCGTTGCCCACGTCCAGGGAGAAGCTGTCGTTAAGCTGCGGGGCCGTTAAAGAGGTCGGTAGGTAGGTGGGTAGGGCGGGGAGGGGAGGGGGAAAAAACACGAATTTTTGAAAATATATCGCCAATGTCTTTAATGTTGATCATTCTGTTGCCGGACGGTTGTTTGCGGTTTTATAAACCCCGGTATAAAACTATTTTTTACCACGTAAGGCCCACCGAGCTATATAGCTATTTTGTCAGAAGCGACCTGGTCACAAATGATAGCTCAACAAAGTGGCTTATCACGTGGAAATTTATAGCAGCCAAATACTCTACACACGTTTCTAAATATTCTTGGTTCTTTCGGTAAAGTCACGTAAAAGAGAAATAATAAAATAATACAAATATAAAACAATAAAAAATTCTCACGACGTTTCGACTGCAACACAAGCAATCATCAGGTGTGAAATCCAAAGCAAGAACCTGATGATGATTGCTTGTGTTGCAGTCGAAACGTCATGAGATTTTTTTTATTGTTTTATATTATTATTTTATTATTTCCCTTATACGTGACTTTACCGAAAGAACCAAGAATATGAATCCCTGCAGTCACGAAAGCTTTAAATCAAAACGTTTCTAAATGTCGAGGGAAAAACCGGAGGACCCGGAGAAAAATCCATGCAACCATGGGGAGACACGCAAACTCCAAATATACAGAAGGCGTCAGGTTCGGGATCGAACCCACGACCTCCTGTATACCAGGTGAGGTAGTTAACATCTCGCCACCGTGACGCTACCGATTGATAGTGGCTAATGAAACACGTGGTTAATGTGTTTAACTTCGGAGAATGACCGTAGCATTACTACGTGTGCGGTCGCGAGGTTGCCCAGCTCCCTGGGCAAGAGGAGATTGAGGAGAGTCCAAGGCTGGCTGCCTGTGACGCCACTAGAGGGTGCTATAGCGGTGATCCCCGACCGACTGGGTTGTGACTTTCAATTATTTTCATTGAAGGACGTTACAGTAACGCGTCGGACTCTCCTGCCATGGGAATGGTGACTGTCGAACGACAGTAAAACTGATATTTTAATTCCCAGAGCTGGAATTTTGTCAAATGAAGTGAAAAGCCACCGGTTCCTGATGGTGAAATTATGGCATACGGTATGGGGAAGCCTCATAAAATATGACACTCGAGGGCACCCCATTTTGTGGACACGTAACACTCACACGCCGCTCACTTGAAATTCACCACTCACCAGTCATCAACCCAGCTGACCCTCACCACTCACCCGATACCAGTCACCAATCACTGGATGCTTGACATCGGAATATTAAATATATCGGCTGTATATCACAACGCTCGTACACGTACCATGGAGTGATTGATCCAACCTAGAAATGTTGCCATGTATTTCTGCTCGCGCGAGACCACGAGAAAGCCATCGAATGCCAAAGTCAGGAAAGCTAAAATCTGCGAACCTCGTGGTTTGGTGGGAGTCAAGACTTACTGCAGGTGGAAATGCCGCCTTGCCCTCGAAATGGAAAACGTCACTCAAAATGGTGCGAGCGAGCGCCTACCTGTCCAGGCGAGGTGTGGACGTACTGCACGCGGTTCAAGTTGACGTCCAGCTGCGTGAAAGCCTCCAGTTGCTGCGCTAGCGAGCCCTCGTACTGCTCCTCCTCCCCGTGCGCCACCAGACAACGCAGGAAGCCGTGCCGGGGCGGCTCCCTCACCGTGAACACCAACTCGGCCGGCGGGCTCACTTCGTGCATGACCTGTCGCACCGCGGGAACGCAGCGACAACAGACGCGTGTAACTCGCGCTGACCAAGCGTGGAAGGGAAAGGTAAGGGGGCGCGGCCCTCAGATGTCTCTCCTCAAGCCACCGCTGGCAGGAGGGCCTCCACTAGAGGGAGAAATTTTGGCAACTCTTCCACGCTGGCCCACAATCTATCTCACCACATGCGAGCTGCTGGCCGACTGTGGTGTACCCGTTTATACTGCTGGGAGGAGAGGGGGTGGGGGTTGGATTTAGTGGGCAATTTTCCTAATTTGGCACATGGCTGACTCTCTTTCCACCCTGTGAAGCAGACAGCGTGGTATTTATGGTTCATAAAACCACAAAATTGACCAGGACGGCTGCTGGCATCGATCTGTGAATCTCTGCAACAAGTGGAAAACGCGCTACCGCTTCGTCATCAGCCCTCGATGAATATCACACACACTTTCTCATCTCTGCGCCCTGCACCGACGCTCGTGCTGAACTTTGCACGAGTATCGCTGCAGCAATCGCCACCGCCGCCGCACCTGAAGGCTGGCGCTGCCGATGGACACGGGCTCCTCCTCTCCCACGACGAGGCTCGCGTTGCGCACGACGGCAGGTGGCTTCTCGTGGCTCTCCAGGAATATGCGAACGGACAGGGAGCCCTCCACCCGCATCTCCGCTCCCTCGCCGTGCCCTCGCAGCTCCACGACGAATCGAAAGCGATCGTGCAGCCCGCCGCGGCTGCCGTCGTGCCGGTACGTAGCTCGACCCGTCCGCAGGTCGTGCCGCGTGAACGACTCGGCCGGGTGGCCGTCCAGCAGCAGCCGCCCGTGCCTCGGCGACTCGGTCACCCGAAACACGACGTCGCCGTCGTCACGCACGTCCACGTTGGTGTCGACGCTCAGGTTCGCCGCGGCGATGGCCCGCGAGTGTCCCCTGCGCACGAGCAGGCCCGTGCCGTTGTTGACCCGGACGTATGGCTCGCTCGCCGCGACCTCCAACAGCGCGGTCACCTGGTGCTTCCCGTCCGACACCCACAGGACAAAGCGACCCTGGTCCATGCCCCGGTGCGCGAAGAGCACCCGGCGCTCCGCTAGATCTCCCTGGCGGAACTGGTAGAGCTTCTTGCCGGGGTCGTCCGCCGCCACCAGCTCGCCGTTGGGGATGCCGCGCCTCGTGTACACGAGCGCGGCGTCGTCCGAGTCGACGTCGGCGTCGTGGTAAGCCAGGTCGGAGAGGGTGAGCAGCTTGTGGCCGTTCCGTACCACCCGGAGCACGCGGTCCACCGTGCGGGCGGGCTTCTCGTCGTTCCGAAGCTGCACCGTGACGTTGAAGGCTGTCGTTGAACGCTGATGAGAAATTCAGGTCCGTGGGAGTGGCGGAGAAAGTGAACCGGTCTTCGGCGGTCTCGGAATCGTCATGAATGTACATGAGCCGTTTGTTCACTATGTCCTCGTTTGTGAAGGTTGTTACGTTGTCGTTGCTATCTGCAGAGTCGGAGAGGTTGATTTTCTTGAGTTTTCCATGCCTTGGGCTTTGTTTAATCTCGGTAGCGAAAGTTTTGTGTGTTTAGGGTTTCCAAAAACAGATCGTTCTTCGTAATCAGTTTTCCCTCGCCTTCTACGATGCTAAGCCCATTGTTAGTAACCTCAATTGCCTCGGAATCGGCTTTTATCGTGAAACAAAAACTGTGCAATTTGGACTTGAGACGCTGGGCCACAACGTGAAACCATACGGTGTCTTCCATGTCGAATTTGGCTCTTTCCTTCAGCAAGTAGGAAACGCTTCCATTCCTCACGTCGCGCTGCGTAAACGACGCGTTGGCCGTCAACTTCACGTCTCCCAGGTACAAATGACCTTTAGCGGGCAGGGTAATGATGTTGTACTTAATGTCTGCGTCGCTCACTTTGGCCCCCTCCACTCGCGTCTGCAGGTTCTTCTGCGTCAAGTGCGCTCGCTCGACCTTGTCAAGCTCCAAGGACCTGTTGTTCACGACCTTGAGCTTCGCCGGACTGACACGGATCACGAATTCCTGCGGCTCCTCCAAAACCTTTCCGAAAACGGACACCTTGAATCGGAAGCGATCGGTGACGCCGGCGGCGATGTTGGCGCCATCGCTGAGGGCGTAGCTCACGTGCTTCCTCTCCATCGCGCGCTGCGTGAACGACTCGGCCCTCCTCCACCTCCCGTTGGATTCGTACAGCCGCTGGATTTCCCCGTGCTTGGGCAGCTCCGTGACGCTGTACTGTATCTCCACGTCCTGGTCCGCTGCGTTGGTGCGCACCGAGAGGTTTGCGGTGAGAATCAGCGCTGATCCTTCCAGCGCCGACACGGATATCCCGGTGTTGTTCTCCACGCCAAACTCACCGGGGATAGCGAGGAGCCGGAGCACCACGGTGTTGCTCACCTTTTCCCCGTCGCTCACGCGCAAAGCGATCCGCGAGTTCCTGATCAAGCCGTGGTGCACAAAGTACACGTCCCCCGCCCGCATGTCCGCGTATGAAAAGTACGTGATGACCTTGCCCGGTTCCCGTGTGCTCTCCAGGTGACCGGCTCCCGCGTTCAAGTTGCCCAGGACGGAGATCTTCAGCTCGGCGGCGTCTGTGTCCGCGTCGATGGCTTGCAGTACGTCCGGGGTGAGCTTTTTCCTACTCTGTTCCACAAGCGTGAACAGGTTCCCGGTTGGAAGCACCAACTCCGGAGGATCGTTTACCGGCAACACGGTTATGTTAAAGACGTACCGCTCCTTCAGTCCATTGAGGAGGACATCGGGCATTTTATTCCTCTTGCCGGTCACGTAGAGCTCGAAGGTGAACGTGTCACCCGGGGCCTCGGAGCCGTCGTGCACGTACACCACCCGCTCCTGAGACACGTCGAGGAGGTTGAACACCACGTGCCCTGCGCTCGGTGCATCTGACTCCGGCACGGCACCGCCGACCTTAATTTTGCCGTGCCAAGGCCCGCTCAAAACTCTGAAGAACAACTGCGATGGTCGATTTCCCAGTGCCTGGAGGTTCACGTTCGTTCTGATATTTTTGTAATTCAAGTTTGCTTTCCCCCCTTCCGGCAACTCCAGCTCGTGCAGGAGCAGAAGAGGAGGCTCCGTGGGCTTAATGGTGGTGGAGGTAGCGGCAGCCGTGGTGGCAACAGTGGTCGTTGGCGCCTTTGTCGGCGGTGCAGTCGGCTTCGTGGTGCCCTTAACTCTCCGCGGTTTGGCTGTCGGCGTGATGGGCGCCTTGAGTTTGGCGGTCGGGGCGACTGTCGCCACGTCATCCCGACAGCCCACGGCGATGTCCTTGGACACCAGCACGTCCTGCAGGTTCCGCTGCTCCCCGTCCACCCTCAGGTCGCGTAAGCAGCCGCGCAGTGACCCGCCCGTTCCTCGGCTGCTGCCGCCCCTCAGCGAGGCCAGGCCGTTCCTCCGCGCCTCGGCTCTCGTGCTGGAGTCCACGCCGCCGACGAACAGGGGCTCGCCGCTGCGCCGCAGCTCCAGGAACTTGCGGGTGTCAACCACTACGAAGCTCTCTGTCACGGTATTGTTATCCACCCTCAACGTGACGTGCCGGGCGGTGAAAGCGAAATGGACGTGGTGCCAGCGGCTGTCGTTCACCATGGTCTTGGGACTTATGACCACGGTTCTTTCGCCGACGTTGAGGAGTGACCACAAGCGGCCCTCGCGTATTTCGAGCGCTGCAAACGGAGGATTTTTGCCCGCCCGGAAGTGGTAGAGCAAGATGCCGCTCTTGACACCCACGCGCACCTGGAACTCAAAGACCGCCTTGCCGCTGTCCCCCCAGACAGGTGGGAACGCCAAGTATGACCACGGGCTGAAGAAGCTGACGGCATCATCGGGGTTGGCCTCGAACTCAGGGCTGCAGCCTGCCGAGACCTCGTGCACCGTCTTGTGACCGGCGTACGACCGCAGGGACGCCAGAATGTCGTGCCCATTGAAGACCACTTCCTCCACGCAGCCCCTGAAGGACTGCACGCCTCCGCGGCCGGTGAGGTAGGGCCGCTCCAGGCTGCCGATCCCGCCAAGCAGAAGGCCGTGCTGGATGTTCAGCTCCTGCAGCTGACCTGGGAGGCGCGCTGAGCTGGGTGCGCGGCCGTCCACCGTCATGGTAACCGCCTCCCCCTTGCGCTGAACTCTCACGCGGTGCCACTCCAGGTCATTCATGCGCACGCCAGGCTCGGTCCGTAGCACGCCCTCTCCGGAGCCCAGCTCCATTCGCAGCTGCATCCGTGCAAAACATACGAGGAAATGGGGAAAAAAACATTAAACGTAGATTGCAACAAAAAAAAAAACGTTAAGAGCATCAGTGTAGTAATTTGATCAAAGATTTTATGGCAGTTCAACGATCCAATCCCTAATACTGCAGAGGTGTGTGTTTTCGTTGCTGTTTCAAATTAACAATATCTACAATACTGTAATTTTACTTTACAGTAATGCAGTTTGTCACCGTTGTATCCCAGACCCCCTGGACTTGGCATACGCCTTTGAAAAGTGGACAGCGAACATGTGTCCCTGCCAATAAGTGTGCATAGGTTATTTTTAACTCACTGTCTAAAAATACAGTTGCAGATCAGCGGGAGTTCGCCGCAAAGGTTCAACAATGTCAATGTTATGGAGGCCTATTTTTCACCGACTCTCCTTCGACTGTGGATTGCTATTCCATCGATTAAAGATGTTAATTTCTGCGAGTGTAAGGATGGAACGCCTTTGCCACTAAACACCACTGTAGATTCACCTTCACATGTTAATGTTGGTAATTGGATTGTTAGCGCACTATCCTATGAATCTAGCGAGCTAAGTTCGAGTCTAGGCCATGGCTAACATCAATGGTGATATTTTAAGCAGTCTTGTGCAACCGCATCACCTGTCCACGTTGATCAGCGTGGTAAAGTACGGTCAAACACTCTCTATGACAAATACGGTACGGGAAGGCCTTTGCAAATATCTAAACATTCTTATTTTAAAGGACAATTAATCTTCATTAAGCATGTTATTCTCCCTCAAAGAGAAACTGTGAATACAGAGATGAAAGACAACCCATTTTCTGGGATCTGAACGATCTATTCGTGAGAGATCAGATGGTGGACAATGCAAAGCTGAATGCTTGAAATGCCGTTTTTGAATCGTATTTCAAGGTGTGTGTTTTAAAACAGTATGAAGAGAGTGATTGACGAACGATAAACAAAGCACTATCAGTTGTTAAAACAAGTGGTTTAAGGCGTGCAGTGATCCCTCGATCGCTTACAAGGTTTCACCTGTCATCCGGTACTCACAGCTTTCCAGTGCATTAGGTCAGCCCAGATGTTTGTGCTAGATAAGTTCATCATATCGTGCTGTGCTGCAGAAACAAAGATGATCCCCTGCTGTGGGTGGGCTAACTCATTTGCTCACTACACATGTAATAAAGATTACTCCCCTAGATTTTGTAATTTAACGTGGCCGAAAATATTACGTACATTATAAAAGTCTGAAGCAAAAAGTACAAAATAACACTGGTCAACAAAAAATTTTGGCCTGGACTTTTGCAGCTGTTTTAGACTAATTTCAGGGTGGTGATTCCAAATCTGATCTCAGATTTGCTCTATCACATCTCATTTTTATGCTATCGGCATACCCCATTTTCATTGATTTTACCCGAAATTAACTCTGTCACTTATGATTGCAAGTTGTTGCGAGTCAGTGACTGCTTTAGTGTTAAAATATGGTGCTGTATTTTTAGGATAGTGTGTTTATAATATCATTTTATGTAGATATCCACATTTATTTAATATTTTTCTTCTGCAGTTTTTATTGAAAATGCAATATTTGATATCTCAAAAACCTGATGTGATAGACAAAAACTGATGCCAGATTTGGAATCAGCAGCACCCCAAAATTACCTTAAAATCGTTGGAATACCTTATGCCAGAAAAAGTGTGTTGACCAGTGTAATCCCAGCTTATTCTGAATGTTGCAAGAACAACAACAGCAACGTACAAATTTGTTTATTTTCCTGTGAAACAAAAGTACTCTCCCAGGCGCCCACCTGCAAGCGCCCGGCGCGTAGCTCCAGCAGGCAGTAGTCGCTGCTGCCTGCGGCCAGGAAGAGCAGCGCGTTCCGCTGGTGCGTACGGAAGCGCAGACTCAGCTCCGTTTGGTCAGACGCCTCGGTCAGCAGAAGCTCCACGTAGCTGTCTCCGAAGAACGAAGCTGCGTGCACGCAACGCACGGGAGTGGCTTGAACAACGCACGAGAGTGGCTTGAACAACGCACGAGAGTGGCTTGAACAACGCACGAGAGTGGCTTGAACAATGCACGAGAGTGGCTTGAACAATGCACGAGAGTGGCTTGAACAATGCACGAGAGTGGCTTGAACAATGCACGAGAGTGGCTTGAACAATGCACGAGAGTGGCTTGAACAACACACGAGAGTGTCTTGAACAATGCACGAGAGTGGCTTGAACAATGCACGAGAGTGGCTTGAACAATGCACGAGAGTGGCTTGAACAACACACGAGAGTGGCTTGAACAATGCACGAGAGTGGCTTGAACAACACACGAGAGTGGCTTGAACAATGCACGAGAGTGGCTTGAACAATGCACGAGAGTGGCTTGAACAACGCACGAGATGGGCTTGAACAACACACGAGAGTGGCTTGAACAACGCACGAGAGTGGCTTGAACAACGTATGAAAGTGGCTTGAACAACGCACGAGAGTGGCTTGAACAACGTATGAAAGTGGCTTGAACAACGCACGAGAGTGGCTTGAACAACGTATGAAAGTGGCTTGAACAACGTATGAAAGTGACTTGAACAACGCATGAAAGTGGCTTGAACAACGCACGAGAGTGGCTTGAACAACGTATGAAAGTGACTTGAACAACGCACGAGAGTGGCTTGAACAACACACGGGGGGGGGGGGGCACCCGGCTGTATGTATCCTTTTAGTAGCATTTTCAAAAGTTAAAGGCCAATAAGATTCACTATTTCATTCGTAAAGGGGGCATGTGTAATAATGAACAAAAATATGTAATGCATGACGCTAATATTATTCTGTAATGACATTATATATTTTTCTTCTAGAAATCTGATTGGAGAATAAAATAGTAACCGTCACAATGAATAATGACATTCATTACAACACATTTTTTCGCCATTTATGCGTATTGGGCTTTCTTCCAAATGTGAAAGGGGATATCTGGAACACACTGTATATTAATATAGTACATCTACTATATTCATGCACAGTATATTTATCTGCAGGCATCTGCTTATCATAACAAGATCCCTGGGTGATATGTCTCTCTGCAGCATACTTTAGCCCTTTTGTTGTTTTGCCAAAGTTTGAAGTGGAACTTTCACATGTAATCAGCAGTCCGTCACGGGACACCACGTCTCTTCTAGACAAACCCATCATTGTGTGCACACCAGCTGCTTCACACACGTCTCTCACACAGCTCTGGCACAGTGCATTAGCGAGGTCACAGTGGACATGCCAATTCAATTGAAGATGCTTTGTTAAAATAGATACACCTCGAAAGATAATTGCAGTGACATTTTACATTTTTTTTGTCAGATTGGAAAGCCTTACGGTAATCGCATTACACCGATACGTGTGAATGAGTACAGCACCCTTTATGCTCTTCTGAAAAGCTTCTGAAAATCAGTTTCTGCTCCGACACCTATTCGGCAATATATGGTTGAATACAACTGCAATGTAGCAGGCCAATGAGCGTTTCAACTGCGATTAGAAATGTCATTAATTCATGGGTTTACTTGCGGAATGACTCATTCGCCTACAAATTTAGCCACGGAGTTGTTGCAAGAACTATCACAGCCGAGGCTCTGGAGCAATCGGTTCTTACCCTGGGGTGCACAGGTGCGAGATGCCCTTTCTGGGGGTGCGAGACACGTGCAGATTTTTTTTTAGAAGGCAAATAATCGAAACAACAAATTAAGCACGTAAGTGCAACTACTTTGTTTCCACAAACCCTCTGTATTTATTCACATGATGCATGTTTTTAGCGATTGAGAACCAAAGTGGCGCAAGGCTGCAGTAAAGGTTAAGAACCACTGCTCCTGAGCAAAAACGGCTCGAGAGCGAAAGGTAAAACCGCCGATCTTGTGTTGCATGCCAGGAAGGCATGGGGTGTGTGTGAGAGTGTTTACAGGGTGGAAGGTGGAGAGATCTGTGGTTAACGCATTCCTCCCATTCACAGTTCACACCTGTGCCTCCGTGGGCCCCAGGAATGCTGCCGCTGTGGCTTTCCAAAGTTCCGTTTCCCCAAACATGAAGCGACAAAGCTGGACACAAAGGGAAGGTCACGCGATCCTCGTCCTTGACCCCCTCTCCCGATTTGCCGAACGAAATGGTGCTGCGTGAACATCTCGGCGAGCTTCAGGAAATGCATCGCGAATGAAGAAGGCGAGCGTCACAAACCGGTGTGGAGAGGTTCGGTGATAGGAATATATATCTTCGAAGACATATATCTTCGATTTTTGTTCGAGTGGGGTGTCATACTTGGCATGATATTTATCACCAGCTGCTGGGCACGGAGCCGGATGCATTCAAGGCAAAGTGGCCAGCGAATGAAGAGTATTCCGGTTTAACATAGAGTAGTATAAAAGTAGAAACTTTTTTTTGTTGAGCAAAGTTATAGAAACATATTTTTCAGTGTGTAAGAAAGCCAGAGGCCCTATCCTTGCAGATGAGGGCAGACACCGCACGGCAGCAGCTCGGCAAGGAACGCCTGATGCCAGACACGATGACACGCTTTGGAAAAGTCAAAAGAGATAAACACGGATTCTCCAACATGCTCACAACACAAGAGGTCCAGATATGAGTTCCATTGGCTAACATACTTACATCGAGAGCATGCTCGTTGGAGATTTTACTGATGGTCATTCACAATTGATAATAATGACTCCAGGTGATAAATAATCTCTTTATTGTTGACAGATTCAGGGGCAAGACAATTTGGAATCACAGGAAGTGGATCGCCCTTTTTTTTAGTTGGCAAGAATTGAGATAACTTCCAGATTGTTGGTGCAATATGTCTGCAGCATGAGAGCTCGAAGAGCCGATTCAGAACTGACGAATGTTCTGGAGTAAACATGTTAAGCACAACACCTGGTATGACGTTAGGAACCACAAACTCTGGAATGTGTTATACTGTACTCAGACAGTACAGCGAGGCTCAAGTTGCTTCGTGCGATGATTAGAATGAAACCACAGTTGGTAAGTTATAAATCTGGCCTTCATAACACGAGCGTAATGCAACGTAATCGGCAATTTTTTTTATCCTTTGCGTAAAAAAAAAATCACGGACCCAGACTCATCCATCATATTTTAGCGGAAATTATTTTTTGCAGAATTGTTGGAGACTGCTGTGGCAAAGGAGAAGAAGGGGTGAAAACCGACGGAAATCAAATGCCAGGTTTTGGCAAGTGCAGTTGATAAAGTGGAACCTTGTATGCTTGATGACACGTCTCCATTAGTGCTTTTTCATCTTTGCATTTGTTAATCCAGAAAAGCCTCACTGGCACTCGAGACTTGCATTCGAGAATACCTGCACATTCTCTGGGATAAAACTAAAAGTTCCGCACAGATGGATTCACAAACCCTTTGTTTCCATACTGCAAACATTGGTTGACATTGGGCCAATGTCGCACAAACGTTGACATGTTTACCATACACTGTACATGCCAGAACATAGTTTGTAGAAACTATAAAATGGAACGGACAATCTTCATTCCTCTTGGCAACCCTCAATTGGTCAGTTGTTTGAAATTCCACATCCACACTCAAGCTTTGCACAGATGGATTCAGGAACATGCTTGCCCTACCTCGTACGCTCTTTGTAACACATATCATGGTTTTAACTGACACCAAAGTATTGCAGGAGAAGAGAGTGCTGCTAAACTTAGCACGTGTCAGCTTCCTACTCGCTCAACCATCACCACCAATGTCAGATTAAGTTGCTAGAGAGCAGTGTGAATAATTAAAAAGAATATTAAATTGCTGGCATGCAACAACAACAACAGTCACGATATACAAGGCCCATATCTGAGTGTTTAGTTTTCGGTTTATCAGCCAGCAAAGATGACCTAAGCCTCTGACCGAATCACACGGAATGCACCCGGTCTTGTTAGAGCTCACAAATAGAAGCTGGATTTTGGCCTGGATAGTGCTTGGATGTGTGACCACCATGCACACACGGTTTGTGATAGGCTCCGACGAAGAATTCGTTGTGAGCAGTAGATCGGTGAAGGCAAATCCATTGCTGTTGCTATACTGCTACGCTCTCGTGTCTATATTGACAGGCTTCACTAACCCGCACTGACCAGCGTGGTGAAGTATGGTCGATAAACCCCCACACAAACCGCACGGCTTGGAGAGGCCCCTCATCCAGCAGTGGATTGACAAAAAGGGCATGTGTGTGTGTGTGTATGTGCACGTACAGAGGTGCCCAAAATGTCCTCAATTCTAACTCGACAACCAGACAAGTTGACTGCAACGTCTGTGAATGACCTCCATCTCTCGACAGGTTGGTTCTAAGGTTGCCACCCGTGTTGTTGGGCAAGATGCTCCACTCCGCGTTACTGGGAGCTTCTTCAAGAATTGAAAAGGCCGACATCGCGCCGACCAACACGAAAACACAATCCCGGCTGATATTCTGCAAAACCGCGACAATCTAGGGCAGTCGTTTGTCAGCAGAGGTGACCACAACACCAGAGACAAAGATTTCCTCCCCCCCCCCCCCATAGCCTCATCAGACTGTTGGGGCAAGTGCTGTTAGCGAGCACCTATTAAGGTCGACACACGAGGAGGTGGGTGGCCAGCACCACGCACGGCCGCCTTTGTCTCACTTGTCGGATGTATACACAACGCACCAGGTACTCATTTGAGGCTGAGTCGACCCAGGGGAGGCCCATGACCGGTCACTGATGTTGGCCGTGAGCGGGAACCGAACTCGGGCGGCTGGGTTCGTAGCGCAGTGCGCTAACCACTACACCACCGCTCCCCCCGACAGCACCACCACCATCAGCACCACCCAAACCACCAACACGATGCAGCAAATGTGACCACAACACCACCATCAGCATCACCCGAACCAACAACGCGAACCAGCAAATGTGACCACAACACCACCATCAGCACCACCCGAACCAACAACGCGAACCAGCAAATGTGACCACAACACCACCATCAGCATCACCCGAACCAACAACGCGAACCAGCAAATGTGACCACAACACCACCATCAGCATCACCCGAACCAACAACGCGAACCAGCAAATGTGACCACAACACCACCATCAGCACCACCCGAACCAACAACGCGAACCAGCAAATGTGACCACAACAACACCACCATCAGCACCTCCCGAAACACCAATGCGAACCAGCAAATGTGACCACAACACCACCACCACCAGCACCACCCGAACCAACAACGCGAACCAGCAAATGTGACCACAACAACACCACCATCAGCACCTCCCGAAACACCAATGCGAACCAGCAAATGTAACCAAACACCACCACCACCATCATCAGCACCACCCAAACCACCAACGCGAACCAGCAAATGTGACCACAACACCACCACCACCATCATCAGCACCACCCAAACCACCAACGCGAACCAGCAAATGTGACCACAACACCACCACCACATCATCACACCCGAACCAGCAAATGTGACCACACCACCACCACCATCAGCCCCACCCGAACCACCAACGCGAACCAGTAAATGTGACCACAACACCACCACCACCATCAGCACCACCCGAAACCACCAACGCGAACCAGCAAATGTGACCACAACACCACCACCACCATCAGCACCACCCGAAACCACCAACGCGGACCAGCAAATGTGACCACAACACCACCACCACCATCAGCACCACCCGAAACCAACAACGCGAACCAGCAAATGTGACCACAACACCACCACCACCATCAGCACCACCCGAACCAGCAAATGTGACCACAACACCACCACCATCAGCACCACCCGAACCACCAACGCGAACCAGCAAATGTGACCACAACACCACCATCACCCGAACCAACAATGCGAACCAGCAAATGTGACCACAACACCACCACCACCAGCTTCACCCCAACACTCACCGCCCAGCGCAGGGTCGCTCTGGCTCAGCGCGGTGACCACGGCGAGAGCGAGAAGAAGACCCCCCCGACTTCTGGCCGAGCGTTGTGAGCCCATGGCTGGCGTCTGGAGACGTGGGGCCGTGGGGGGGTATGGCCCTCTCCTCCTCCTGGCCGGGCGAGGCAGCCTCAGCCCCGGGCAGCTGGGGTCGCTTCTGATCCTCCTCCTGCGATTGCCAACTCCCTCGTTAGATACGAATCGTAAAGTCACCAAAAGAAACTGAAAAGAAAGGTCGCTAGATAGCCCATTCCTCTCTCAATCTCATCACCAGCGATAGCTAGCAGCTTGCTTGATCCACTGCTGGATAAAGGACTACCCAAGCCGTCAAAAGGACAGTACTTTTGACAACTGACCACGGGTTATCATCATCGCCACGACACACGCGCATCGCCAACACTGACGCGCTTTCCTTCAGCGCGTATCCAGCCGGTGTGTTCGCTCCCTGGCCTACATCATTGTGTTTGTTGCAGCTATAAGTTGTAGCCCGTCGCTTTAGAAGTTACGTCTGCCGCTAGAGATGTATTATAACCCGCAGCGCACACCAGCAATACAAAAGAAAAGAACACCAAGTCGCTGACGAATAAAAATGTGGCTCGAACCAACGTTGGAAGCCACCCAGGAATGCGGACGCGTGACGTTGAAATCCCAGCCGGGCTCGGGTGGAGGGATGCGGGGGGACACGCGGGGGGCTGCCCGGTGGAGTCCCGTGGGGGTCTTGGGGCAGAAGGCGCCCGTGGGTCAAGGGGTCACTGGTGGCTGCGCAAGGGGTCACCAAGAGGGAATAACAATACGAGCTAAATTTTGTTGTTGTTCGAATTGGGTAAAAGACGATTAACAATTCAGTATTTCGAGAGCCGCAATGTAGAAATACGAGACGGGAGGTGATTCTTCATACACAAGGTCACGAAGCAGCCCTGGCAGTGGCGACACGAGCGTGGGGCATGCAAGGAGGGTGCCTTGGCCCCCCTGATGGCCAAAGATACGAGTTGGGGCCCCCTTAAAATCCACTGTGAGTTGTTTTCAACAGCAGTGTAAAAGAACAACAACACTGAATTAAAACGCGGCTTAAAATGTTCTTCATGGTAATACTTTAATTTACATACTCTTTGGTTCTTTCGGTAAAGTCACGTAGTTAGAAATAAAATACAATTATTTTAAATACAATTATTTTCAATAAAATTATTTTAAATACAATTATTTTATTTAAAATAATTATATTTCTAACTACGTGACTTTACCGAAAGAACCAAAGAGTATGGATTCCTGCAGTCACGAAAGCTTAAAATCACTTTAATTTACGTTACACGTGTTATTTGAATTTATTTAGAGCGCTAACGTGTTGGCGATCATGCGAGACAAAATCAAATATTGCCGCACCAACAACCCCCTGAGCTGAGAGTGGAGCTGCTATGTCACTGGTGGGTAGGGTAGTGGTTCTTCACTGATTTTCAGACAGGGGGCCACTTTCACCGATAAGACATCGTCAGTGTGAGGGCTGCCACACATTTGAAACCGTTGGGGTTTGACAGCACGATGATGATGGGGGGTGTTTTCACATGTTGTGTATTGTCGGGGCCGCACTATGAAGAACACTCATAGCCCAACACCAATGGAGACTAGGCTCTAAGAAAAGCTGTCTCGGGTGTGGACCAATCAACTTCAAGGACAGTGCATATCATTATCAGAGTTGTTTCTTTTTGTTTACATTTTGACTGCTTGTGTTGTGGTTATTGCAAACATGATGCCTTGTATAAAGGTGTCAGTTTTTGTACCAGTTGAAAGGGTAAAAATCTATTACTACTCATAATAAAGGTTTTTGGGTTAGATCGCGTTATTATAAATGTGTTGCAACCTTCCACTACCCGACACGACCAATCAGTAAAAAATATGTCGCGTTAACAAAACGCCAGTTAGTTAGCTATACATCAAGATGAGAACGCCAGTTAGTTACTTCTTCAGCCCACCGGTGTGTTTGAAGAGTGAGTCCACAACATTTAGAATTTGAGCACGACGTTTCGCTGCTAATTACATCCAGCATATTCGGCCGATTTGCCAGAATAGTGAAGCCATCCACCTGCTTCCGATGGCCATGTTGGGTGGTGGAGGGTTGTGACACATTTATAATAACGCGATCTAACCCAAAAATTTTTATTATGAATGATACTGGTCGCGAAAGCCTACGTGTTAAAATGAAGAACACTGTCAGGTCGGGGATCATCCAGAAAGGGGAAGAATGAGGATAAGGGTAGCGACGAGACACGGACTCTTGAGTTATGCATGCAAGTTACTTTATAGACGAGCAAATATGTATCAAGAGTATATAATATTATTAGATGCTGGTATTGCATGCGGAGCTCTATAAGTAACCTCTGTTGCCCCTATGGTTTGGAATTCTCTTCTAACAGTCGTGCGTATGATGTAGATTCCCTGCCCTTGTTTAAATCCGGGCTCAAATCCACGACTGCCTGCCTGCCTCTATGTGTACAGAGGTTATACTTAGATCGTGTTTTCAAATTGTGTTGTACTGCACGAGACGTGTTGTCAACCGCCTGCCCCACAATGGGGTTCTTGAGTAAGCAGCCGACGTTTTGGGCAATGGCCCTATCTCAAAAGCCATTGCCCGGAACGTCGTCTATAGTAATTATTTTTTTCTCTAAAGGCGGTATTCTTGACAAAAGTCTTCAGTTAGTGCTATTTGTGTTTGTTTACCGCTGACAACGCATTTTCATCAACTAATTTTCCATATTTCTGTTGCTTTTGTTTGTCGCTGCTGCTGATGTTGATGACCTTCACTCTGAGCAGTGCCGGATTAAGCTAGTGCGGGGCCTGTAGCATATGTTATAAAGGGGCTCTAAATAAAAAACACGTAAATATTAAAACACATATGTTTTACTTGCACAGTAAAGTAATTGTATTTTTTCATTTGCTATACAGCCAGATAAAACTACAAATCGCTAACTTTTAACACCCAGTCGTTCCTAAAAAAAAGTTCAAGGTAGTGTAGTACTATGGTAATAGAGCAAGTGCAGAATCACTGAACCGGAATTGATAGCTTGAAAACATTTATTGCGGGGCCCTTGAAAGTGCGGGGCCCGTAGCTACTACATATGTGGCTATTTTTTAATCCTTTATATTAAGTTCACTTGCTTGCTTGCTTGCGCGCTTACGACCGTGCAAATCTTTCGGTCGTTTTTTAACCCACTTTCCGTGATCCAATCGAGCTGACATTTTGCACACAGACTCGTTGTGCGTGACAATTTATTTTCGTGAAACTTTATTTCCAAAATTTTACACTTTTTAGGAAAAAATAATTATATTTAATTACCAATTGCTTAATGGTGGCAGGCAATCATCTGACCCATAGGTGGCAGCCATCTCAAGCCAGAGGACGAGAGAACTCTAGCCGCCACGCATATAAAGGATTTATAGTGAAAAACTTTGTTTTTACGGGTTAATTTTTGCTACTGGGATAATCCGGCACCGACTCTGAAGCTGAGTGGTCGCGTTGCCACCAACTCAGCGTCTGCTGCCCACTGGAGGCTTCCTGCTGCCAAACCACCCCGCGTGGACTGGCGCTGTCCGCCATTGCTGCCACCTACTGCCCGCGGTGCGCAATGACGATTGGCGATCACGATTTCGCACGGCCAATGAAGATCAATTCTAGATTTGAAGCTTTCGTGACTGCAAGGATTCATATTCTTAGGTTTTTTCGGTAAAGTCACGTAGGTAAAACATCAAAATTAACGAAAATAAAATAAAATAAAACAAAAATCACGACGTTTCGGAGGCAACACAAGTCTCCGTCATCAGGTGGGACCGAATTAGCTGCATCAAGTGATGCAGCTAATTCGGCTGTGACGGTCCCACCTGATGACGGAGACTTGTGTTGCCTCCGAAACGTCGTGATTTTTGTTTTATTTTATTTTCATAAATTTTGATGTTTTACCTACGTGACTTTACCGAAAAAACCTAAGAATATGAATGAAGATCAACCTTCATTGCAGCATCCCGTACCATTGACATGCTGATTTTCTCACATTAGCATCACTTTGTCGTGCTCTTGCTCGCCCTGTAATCCCTCTAGCTTGCAGCAGTCCACTCCCCCCTCTCTATCTCTCCTCCCTGGCTCCTTGCCCCCTCTCTTACCTATATGGCCTCTTGTTACAGCAGCCCTTTTGCCCACTTCAGCAATTGTTTCTTGCTGTGGTTGTCCCACCTGTTGGCGGACGCTTGTGTTGCGCCCGAAACGTCGTGATTTATTTTATTGTATTTCTACCTACGTGACTTTAGCGAAAGAACCAAAGAGTATGGATTCCTGCAGTCACGAAAGCTTCAAATCAAGATTAAATAACTTTGTTCTTTTGATTTAAAGCTTGTGTGACTGCAGGGATTCATATTCTTGGTTCTTTCGGTAAAGTCACGTAGAAGGGAAACAATTAAATAATAAAAATATAAAACAATAAAATGATCACGACGTTTCGACTGCAACACAAGCAATCATCATCAGGTGTGAAAAAAACAGCAAGAACATTTGAAAAACCGCCACTTTTTTCTAATTTTCTTGCTGTGTTGTTCACACCTGATGACGATTGCTTGTGTTTCAGTCTAAACGTCGTGAGAATTTTATTGTTTTATATTTTTATTATTTAATTGTTTCTCTTCTACGTGACTTTAACGAAATAACCAAGAATAACTTTGTTGTTGTTTATTATTTTGGCGCTATCACAGCTTCACCCCCTCCCACCAACCCCCTCCCTCCAACCCCCCCCCCCTTCCTCCAACCCCCCCTCCCTCCAACCCCCCTCCCTCCAACCCCCCTCCCTCCAACCCCCCCCTCCCTCCAACACCCCCCCTCCCTCCAACCCCCCATCCCTCCAACCCCCCTCCCTCCAACCCCCCCTCCCTCCAACCCCCTCCCTCCAACCCCCCCTCCCTCCAACCCCCCCTCCCTCCAACCCCCCCGTCCCTCCAACACCCCCCCTCCCTCCAACCCCCCATCCCTCCAACCCCCCCTCCCTCCAACCCCCCCCTCCCTCCAACACCCCCCCTCCCTCCAACCCCCCATCCCTCCAACCCCCCCCTCCCTCCAACCTACCCAACCCCCCCTCACTCCAAACCCCCTCCCCTTCCCCCCAACCCCCCCTCCCTCCAACCCCCCCCTCCCTCCAACCCCCCCTCCCTCCACCCCCCTCCCTCCAACCCCCCCTCCCTCCAACCCCCCCTCCCTCCAACCCCCCCCTCCCTCCAACCTCCCCTCCCTCCAACCCCCCCCTCCCTCCCACCCCCCCTCCCCTCCACCCCCCCCTCCCTCCAACCCCCCCTCCCTCCAACCCCCCCTCCCTCCAACCCCCCCTCCCTCCAACCCCCCCCTCCTCCAACCCCCCCCTCCAACCCCCCCCCTCCCTCCAACCCCCCCCTCCCTCCAACCCCCCCCTCCAAGCCCCCCTCCCTCCAACCTCCCCCTCCAACCCCTCCCTCCAACCCCTCCCTCCAACCCCCCCTCCCTCCAACCCTCCATCCCTCCAACACCCCCCCTCCCTCCAACCCCCCTCCCTCCAACCCCCCTCCCTCCAACCGCCCCCTCCCTCCAACCCCCCCTCCCTCCAACCCCCCCTCCAAGCCCCCCTCCATCCAACCTCCCCCTCCCTCCAACCCCCCATCCCTCCAACAACCCCCCTCCCTCCAACCCCCCCCTCCCTCCAACCCCCCCCTCCCTCCAACCCCCCCTCCAAGCTCCCCTCCCTCCAACCTCCCCCTCCCTCCAACCCCCCTCCCTCCAACCGCCCCCTCCCTCCAACCCCCCCTCCCTCCAACACCCCCCCTCCCTCCAACCCCCCTCCCTCCAACCGCCCCCTCCCTCCAACCCCCCCTCCCTCCAACCCCCTCCCTCCAACCCCCCCCCTCCCTCCAACCCCCCCCCCTCCCTCCAACCCCCCCCCTCCCTCCAACCCCCCCCTCCCTCCAACCCCCCCCTCCCTCCAACCGCCCCCTCCAACCCCCCTCCCCGCGAGCGGTGACGTCACGCGCGCGCGGCTCGTGACGTCACGCGCCGCCGCCATTTTCTCGAACGGCTCTGACGATCAACGGCGACGTTCGCGGCAGCGGCGGCCACCTCCACCACCACCACCACGACGGACTTCCTTTGGGACAAGCACACGGGCGTTGCGGCGCACAAGGTGAGCGGCCGCTGAGGTTACCCGTAGACGACGGCCTATCGTGCGCTGCGCGCCGATGTCTTTAATTCAATGCGTATGAGGAGGAGGGAATTTTATTTTAAATAAAAACCGAGAGACGTCGCAGCGCCCTTAGAACTAAAAGATGGCGGCGGTTGTAGCGGGCGGGATCTCCTCGCCCTGTCGCCCTTCTCCGCCGCCCGAAAATTTAAATGTTAAATTCTTAAACCTCAACGGAAACATTTTTTTTATAAACCATTAACTAAAACGGCCGTCGCCATGGTTTTGGCAAGGCTGCTGCCGCTCCCCGTTTAAACTGCGGTTGTAGAAAGGAGGGCGGATTGCTGCTGCTGCTGTGATGATGGAACTGTTGTGGGGCCGGTCGCGGTCATCCATCGGGTCGCGGTCGATACCCTCCTGGGTGAAGCCTGCTGGGTGAAGGCCCTCGCCACGGCATCCTCTCTCCCCTCTCATCCGTGTCCTGCTGTAGTTGGTTCACGTTATGGCCGTTTTGCTTAGCGCGCCATGGCACACGACGTCTTTTGGGGAGGGTGGCGATGGCTGTGGTTGATGTGATAATTATGGTTGATGTGATAATTATGGTTGATGGTGGTGATGATGAGGTGGTTGGTGGTGGTCGTGGCGTGGATGGTGGTGGTTGTAATTCGTAGTGGTCCGTTGGTAAAGGAGCGAGGCTCACAACTGCCAATGGTCTCTCGCCACCAAACACAGCATTGGTTTGTCCATCTGCCAATCATCTCGAACATTAATCTCATAACACTTTGCCCAAGTGGCCTCGAGGTGCACCTAGCTTGGCACAAGCACCGTGTTGACGTCGCTTGTCACTTAATTGGGGCAAATATGGCAGAGGATTGTTGGGGGTATGAAGAGGAAGCACTGAGAGCTGTTGTGTAACTCGGGAAACTTCTCGCTCGTCAGTAAAAACACAACGTAATTATATTTACTCCAGAATTGTTTACATATCAATTGTTTGTCGCCTTCACAAGTTGGCCCGTCAAATCAGTGGTACTCTGAAGTTCTCGAATATTCCATTGCCTTATCGGTGTCATTGTACTGGGTTAGATGTGGCACGATAACCACACAACATGCGAAACTTAATTTAACACGTAGGCTTTCGCGACCAATATCCACAATAGAGGGGATTTTTTTGGCTTATGTCGCTTAATTATAAATGGGTGGTGACGGGTTTAACAACACATTTACGAGATCTAACCCAAAACACCCTCCTATTATACCAAACTTGCAATGCTGGTGTAGGGGGGGGAGTTTTGTTTAAATGCCCAACTTTTGTATGCCGCCATTTGCCCACGTGGTGCTTGAAGGCAAAGCCGCACACTGGGAATGTTGAGAAAAACGTAAAGCCGAATTGTGGGTTGATGCAACCCATCATAATCATCTTCCTGGGGTCGATAAAGTGAGTGCCACGCTGTGGGAATTAAACTGGTTGTCTGATGGAGATGTTGCATCTCATAAATGTGAAATCTGCTGAATTCCAGCTGTTGGCGTATATTAATTAGCATGACATGCTAATTTGAGCGGGGAAGCGCTTTGAATTTACTTCCAAGGGTTTTTTTCTATGGTTAGTGGGAACCGCGTACTAGTTCAGTGTGGACATATCTGAACATTGATAGGATCTTATATCACTTCTACACTTAAAATTCAAATTATCCACACTTCTGCCATAGTTGTCCCCACTTTACTGGCATCACTTTGCCTCGCCTGTTTTGCTAACCTCAACAACAAACTCAATCTGCTTCCCCAGCCATTCTAAGGGCCCTACTTTAAATTGCATGCATTGTAGAACTGTTTTGGCATGTCCAACCTTGATTCATACCTCGGGTATCAAATGTTCTCGCAGCTTGCGGTTTCCCAAAGAGAACATGTTCTGAATAGCATCGTGGCCAATCTACACCGCACCCGCTGCTAAATACTGAGTTGCCGTTCAGGACATTTGGCCCTATTCAGCTCTTCTGGTCTGTGCAGTTATATGCTGATCAGCGTTGCCCATATCTCCATCCTTATTTTTTTTAACATTGCTTATACATATGCATTCAAGTCTACTCATCGGCCATGTACAACCTTATGCAAGAACTCCTAATGGTTTTCTTTTTTTATTACATTTTCACTGACGCCTACGTGTGATGATTTCACCACCTTCGTGGAGCTTTGAGTGACATACAACTGCTTTTGAATAGCATGCTGCATAAAGGCAGTTGTTGTTTACACAGTTTTACACGAACTTGTGATTTATGATGTAACTAAATACAAGGGTATCTTAAAGTCTCTACTAGAAGCCACGTCATGACCTCTGTTTTTCTTGCAAGATCACGTGCTTCTGATTACGAGGCTTTCCTTTTTAGAATCCTGCGTAATAGACCTTGCCGCCACTCATTGAAACTAAAGTAATACCGGTAAAGAAAAACTGTTTTTCTTTTACCTTGGAAAGTTTGTCTTGTACATTCCACTAATTTTCAAAAGTTGTACGCTTAAAAAAAAATGTTCCAATACACTCTAAATACAGATGATGCATTAACGATGTCCTTGTGCGCGCAAATGTGTCGCATGGTGCTCGTTTCTGTTTGCATCCCTGAGCCAGTGCTGGACAATCTAAATATACATTCGTGGGTGGCAGTCTTCATCAGTTAAGAAATGTTGATTTCATTGGTACCATATGCCAGTCTTCATCAGTTAAGCAGTGTTGATTTCATAGGTACCATAGGCTAACTTGTCCCTGGCAGGTTGCGCTCTGATGAACACTTGACAAGCGATGTGGAATGTGGGCTGTACTGTATATGGCTAATGATGTGTTTTTTTTATTTGTTTAAGATGCCTCACCCGAAAAGGTTTCGGTCATCGGACCGAGGCAGCAGAGACAGTTACAGATACAGAGACGATTACAGCAGCCGCAAGAGGCATCGGAGGAAATCCAGTAGCAGGGAGCATTCTCCAAGACGCAATCGTAATGACAGCTGCTACACAAAATCGCAGCGTTCTTTCAGGTAAAACATTTTGCTGTCTTAACCAGTTTGTGTAGCAACTTTCACAATTTCTCAGAGTCCTAATATAGTGGCGATTGTATGAATGTTGTGCTCTCCAGTCACGTTCCTTTTCGTAAACGTTAGTGCTGGGTGATTCCTGCAGGAATGTTATGTTATACCATGTTTCTATCATGGGCAATAATTCTATTAGTGGTTTTCATTTGGATACCTGAAGCAGTAAACATTATACATTCCCAGCATGTTCATATGTCATCTGCTCTTGACTTCCTGCAAAGCGCTATTTTATCTGGAAGGATTAATAACAATTCTAATTCACAACCTTCTGATTGTGAACTGAGTTCTTGAAGCAAAGTGCCACCGCTGGGTGACTTTATATAAGTGACACAATTCTTCTCTTTCAGCTATGTTCGTTCATGCGAGCAGAGAATGTATGACGACAGATACTACGCTGACTACAGAGGGGACTATGTAAGGGATAGAGGTGAGGGTTTCTACGAAGAGGCCTTCAATTTACCCCCTCAGTCATTCGATTATCGTCACCGCTCTCGTGATTACGATCACGACGAGAGCTACCGCAGCAGCCGGCGACGGCTGAGGAGGAGAAGACATCGCACACGCTCGTACAGTCGCTCCTCCTCGGTGAGTACTTTCTCGAACCGTCTTTGCTATGTTCAATGTAGATGCTCGCTTTGTTCAGGTAGCATGCCTTAGATATTTTTTCACGAGGGTTCAGTCGATGTGAGTTCGACTGCTTGTTCTCTTGTTACAGACACGAACACAATGAAAAAGCGAAACTAGTGTGTTTTTTATATAGATTTAATGAAGAGGGATGTTTTTAATTTCCACTGTGGCCTTCAAGTGTGCAGCTCATGGTGGCTTTGCGTTCTATTTTAGTCACATTTAATTACCTCGAAATAGTCGAGTGAAATGTGTTTGTTTGCTCTTAAAGTATTGGCAAAATTATGCCTTTGATCAAATCACCTGGAATGTGCCCGATCTCATCAGATCTTGGAAGCAAAACCAGGTATTGGACTAAAGAATGCTTGGATGGGTGACCACCATGCATGACAGGTTGTTACAGGATGTGGGGCTCAATGGTGGGCAGAATAGGTGCAGCAAAACCAGTTGTTGCACTATACTTCTATGTTGCCATATCAATGCTCCTGCCTTCAACCTGCATTGACCAAACATGGTGAAGTATGGTCAAATAACTTATTATATTGACCGCACAGTAAGAAGAAGGCTCTATCATCCTTCATTGGATTGACAACTTTAGGACTCTATGTACATTGAAATGTAGCTTGCTACAATTGTTTTTTTGTGAATGAACCCTTAATTAAAAAAAAAACTGGAAGTAATTTGAAGACATTAGTTATCTTGTCTGTTTTGGTAAATTTTGTTATTTGAAAAATAATTCGTAATTTTTTGTAACTTATTCTAAATTTGTAAGGTAAAATAACTTGTATATGTGGACTTTGCACCCTTACTCAGTTTTCATAACTACTTTATCTATATTCAACTATAAAATTGCAGTAAATTCCATACTAAGGCTTTCACGACTAATACTATTCATAATTGGTTTCTTTTGGGTTCAGTCATGTAGGCATATGTCAAATAGATCTATAACCCTGAACCACCTGCCAAAGTCAGTTGATGTTGTTTTTCAACAACCATCCATGTTGAAAAAGATAGCAACAATTTGTCAGTTGTATGCAATGATGGTTCACTCGAGATTACAACCAGCATCATTAGTTTGCAAAACTATTTGTAAGCACATTTGCACGTGTGACAACGCGATTTGTTTGACTTTCTCATGTGGTGGAGGGAATAGCTCTAATTGAGATGCCTGCAAGATGTAACTCAACGGAACCCAATTGATAAAATTATAGTAGTTAACATGTTCAATTATGCAATGGCCACTTATGGTGTGTAATAAAAACTGGCCATTTTAGGTTGAAAGCTTTAAGGCAGCGGTTCGCAACCCATAGATCTGGGGTGGCACAGGCTGCTTGCATAGATATACCGTACAGGAAAAAATCCTAATTCATTGTTTAATGGGCCACTACTTCCTACGCTCAACCGAGTGTTATAAACTCTATGCATTGAAGAGGGACATCCCAACAGCCAGTGTCACTCTATTTTTTTGACTTTGGAACAACATCCGCAGCATCTGCTCCGTCTAATCTATGATGGTTGACTTGGCCAAAACTGCCTCCTGGCAATAACGGGTACAAAGGTGCCTCCTTCCAAAAGATAAAAGCTACTATCCAAGAATGGTTTTGTGTTTTTTTTTAAGCTAGGGTGGTGGACAATAAAGGGATGCTTATTGTTGAATCCAAAGGAAAGTAAGTGGTGAGCTTGGGCAGGACGCACATCGCTAAAAGTAATGATGGCCAATGGTTGAGACCGCTGCTGGAGTGGGCAGTCGAAGGAGCGATCGTGCCCACTTGCAGTTTGATCAATATGTTTGACAAATGTACACTGCCAACGTTGAGAACCACTGCTTTAAGGAATTTCTGCCTTTTAAAATGTTTTAATTCGTTCCACACGGACCTTAAGCAATTCAATTTGGTTCATACAAATGTTTTATACTCATTAACAAGCAATCTTAGGTTTTGGCATAAAATCATGAAACAGCTTTGAATAAAAAAAAACTGAGATGAGGGTGTTTTATGTATTATAACTATTAACAAAATACATTGTTTATTTAGTCAGTTATTTGTTTTTATTTGCTTTTACACTTATACAATTTTTGTAATATGGAAGATCTTGGTTAATGATTGCTATTTATTTCACTGTTCTGTTAATTGTAAGCACGTAAGGTATGTAATGGTGTATGGAATAGTGATGTTTCTTCACATGTGCCTTGCAATATCCTTATTGTTACATCCCATGTACCATATGACATCGAATGATTGGCAAACCGGAAACTCGCGGGCTACCCACCCTTGAAAATGTGCTTTGATGCCAACACCGGGCCGTACGTGCTGCCGATTGTGTGGCCTCGGGAATGGGTTGGATGTTGCACGGCCTGGTTCAGCGGAGCAAGCAGAGCACCAGGAGGGCAAAGAGTGTGGAAGATGATGAAGATGGCCATCTGATCTATCGGATCGGCGACTGGCTACAAGCGAGATGTACAGCGTTTTTCGTAACATTTAGTGCTCTTTAGTTGCATAATGATCCCAATGTACAAAAAAGTTGTTGTCTTCTGTCTTTAAATATGCTGTTAAAGTTAATATACAATATGTGCTATCTGGTAGATAAATGAAGCTTGATTATATATGCGACAATCATAGGAATGCAATGTCCAATACACTTATCAGAGCCATTCCATGTCAACTCGACTAAAGGTCCACACCTGAACATCTGAGATAAAAGCATATTCATGAACATATTAACACGCCCATTATTTTAGGTCCCTGTGACAAAAATTGGCCAAGATATAAAAATTATTTAATGGGAGATTTTTATTATTAATTAATTACACCCTCAGGACAATGGGCATATAATATTAATGCCACATTGATGTTTATTACTCACAAGTGATAAACTTGGATATGTAATATCTTCCTTTAATAACCCATTACCCCTTATTAATACGAGTCCACTGCATCAAGGTACGGTAGTTGCTGGATATAAGCGCATCTTAGAGAAGCGCAGCTCTGATGTATACAACATCCTTACACTTGGGGGGGGGGGGGAGGCAGTGGGAAACTTCTGAAACAAGGACACTTCTAGATTTGAAGCTTTCGTGACTGCAAGGATTCATATTCTTAGGTTTTTTCGGTAAAGTCACGTAGGTAAAACATTAAAATTAATAAAAGTAAAATAAAAATCACGACGTTTCGGAGGCAACACAAGCTTCCGTCTTCAGGTGGAACCGTCACAGCACGATAGCTGTATCAAGTACATTGGAAGCTTGTGTTGCCTCCGAAACGTCGTGATTTTTATTTTATTTTACTTTTATTAAATTTAATGTTTTACCTACGTGACTTTACCGAAAAAACCTAAGAATAAGGACACTTCTGATGTAAGCACATCCGACTTTGCTCTCAAAAGGGGCGTGCTTATATCCAGCAACCACCGTATTTGACATTTTTTCATAGTTATATAGTTGCATGAAATGATGGGAAGGTTGTTGGCTTGTATCAAATGCATGACATGACAACAGATTTGCACATATTGGCCAAATGTGCACAGTAGTGAGTAATCTTATTCGATTAACAGATTACGGTTGGCTGGAACCTCGCGAATGTTTGCAATTTTTACAGTATTTGTTATTTATTGAAAGAGAAAATCAAGCATAAAATAAGTTACGTCATGCTTCTTTCAGATGATTTGATGTGAAACATAAAATAAATGTTTTTTTTTTTTTAGATGAGATCATCAGTACCTTAGGTGAGGGTACCTTTGGAAAAGTGGTCCATTGCATCGATCATGACCGGTAAGCTTGGTTTGTATAACCAATAACTTTATTGTATTTTTCACTGGAGTAAGAGAGTGCCACATGGCTTAGTTGTGCTCTGTTTTGTATTACAGGGGGAAAGCAAAAATTGCACTTAAAATAATAAAAAATGTAGACAAATACAGAGAAGCTGCACGGCTGGAGATCAATGTTTTGGAGAAAATCAATGAGAAGGATCCACGAAATAAATAGTAAGTGATTCATTTACGTTTCGTATGAAGGTTTGAAAATAGTTTTTTTTATGTGCCCGTTTTTTAAATGTTAAAGCACAATAAGTGCTTAACTATTTTAATGTAAATAAGCATTCGGATATTTTGTAATTTTTTAGTTATTCAAAACTTTCTGTCTTTTTTGTTGCCAAACACTTCTGAAAACGGAATCCTTTTGTGTGCTTTGCAGTCTGTGCGTACAGATGTACGACTGGTTTGACTACCATGGGCACATGTGCATTGCTTTTGAGCTGCTCGGCCTGAGTACATTTGATTTCCTCAAGGAGAACAACTACCTGCCATACCCACTGCACCAAGTCAGGCTCATGGCCTTCCAACTCTGCTACGCTATCAAATGTAAATATATGAGCGTTCGTGCTTTGAGGCAAACAAGTGTTATTTGTTTGTCAACACGAGGTTGCTTTGATTTGTATTTTTTATGCAATCGGTGAGTAAGTAATGACTTTCTGAACGTAGAAACACTTGCCAAAGGTGCTGAAAAAGATGTAGTGATCTGGATGTTTATATAGCATGATGGCATTGTGATCGTGTAGAAATGAACCTTTCGGTTGAGTGCTAAATTACCCAACTTGAGTGGTAAATTCAGTGTTGCCCATCTACAGTGGTAGATGGCGTGTTGGACATATCTTGTGAAGTTGCTCTGTAAATGTGAACGAGATTAGTAACATTGAGCACCATTTTGAGTATGGGGGGGACAGATTAAAAATAATTAATATATTGATACAAACTTTGTAAATACTTATCCCGGGAAGGTTGACCCATAAATATTTAGTTTGCAAAATACTTTAATGTGTTCTCTTTGCCTTTGCAGTTTTACACGACAACAAATTGACCCACACAGACCTGAAACCGGAAAACATTCTGTTTGTGGATTCAGAATATGACATCAAATACAACCCACAAAAAGTATGTATGTTAAGCAATTTGTGCATTTGTTAACGTTAAACATAAGAGTGCGAGCACATTTTTACACAGTAAACACTGTTAGTCGGTGCTGAGTAATGCAGGACCATTAATGGGTAATTGATGACGTGGATAACGAGAAACACATGACAACCATTCAACAAAATGATTATATCATGGCAGGGGCATATAAAACTGCTGAACATCGGTCTAACCACATTTATCGTTCTGCACTTTGAGACATTAACATCATGGGTGCATTACTTATGAGATTAGCGTGTGCATTTTTTAAACCTATACACTTATTTGAATGTGTTTTTATATTTACAGAAGCGGGATGAGAGAACTGTGAGAAATGCAGACATTCGGGTGGTGGACTTTGGAAGTGCAACCTTTGATTATGAACATCACAGCACTATTGTGTCGACAAGACATTACAGAGCGCCAGAGGTCCTCTTGGGTGAGTTCAGTTGTCCGGTAAATATTTTATGTCAACATTGATTATTGTAGTGCACAAACATCAACTCTTATCTCGCTGATTTAATTCTGCGTTATAATGAAGGACTGTTATTTTGTCTTTTATTAACAGAGCTTGGATGGTCGCAGCCTTGTGATGTCTGGAGCATCGGATGCATTGTTTTTGAGTTCTATTTGGGGTTCACCTTGTTCCAGGTGCGACATAAATACAATTACACGTTGCATATGAGCATGGCCTGCGTGTCTACATGCATTGCAATACCATGTGAATTTATCTTATTCTGCAGACTCATGACAACAGAGAGCACTTGGCCATGATGGAGAGGACCTTGGGTCTGATTCCTTCTCGCATGGTCAGAAGGACAAGGTAATTTTCTTCACCACTTTTATCACGTGTAGTTTGTGGAAAACGCGCAAGCATCGCATATGCGATGCATATTACTGTGTTAATGAGATGACCGTGTTCTTAGAAATGTTTGTTACTAATGGGAAAAAAAGCCACCAGTCGTGATAGCACCTTTTTGTAGACTAGCATTTGACACGATTCAAACAAAATTATAGCTTGGTCACATCAAATTATTAGATGTGCACTGCAAATTGTTTAGAGTTGTGGAGACATCACTAGTTGTCACTTAATGTATGCACTGCAAATTCTTTAGAGTTGTGGAGACATCACTAGTTGTCACTTAATGTTTTACCCGAGAATGCAATACATCCTGGGATTCAGTTGGAAGTGAGTTTTCATTTCTAATACTTGGAACAAAATTTGTGCTCTATTGACTCTAATGACTGTTACTACAGGAAGCAGAAGTACTTCCACCATGGTCATCTGGATTGGGATGAAAACAGTTCTGCTGGAAAATACGTGCGGGAAAATTGCAAACCACTGAGGGTAAGTCTATTTGTGCTTGGATTAATATTCTAATTACCAGTGAATGCAAATAAACATGATTTCTATAATCATGGGAATATTGTATAGCTTTATGTAATTGGAACATGATTTTAGTTACAATATTTACAAGAGCTGATCTTTTTTCCCTTTTGGTTGTCATAAAATTAACGTGTTTTCGTTAAGCAATCAATACAAAGTACCCGAAATGTCTAAGGTTATTAAGAAACTTAGGTTATTCATACGTTTTTCATATAGCTGTTGGCACTGTTTGAAAAAAGGTTTGAAACAGGCTTTTACGTAAATAACCATATTTATAAAACAATGTTACTTTGAGTGTAGATTTTGACTTGATAAACCTAACAATCCTGGTTGAAGGTCCTCGGCTTGATGGATGTTTTTTTTGTGCATTGAAAGAGAAGATGGGCTTTTTATTTTATTTGTTACTCGCACAATGCTGTACAATATTGCATTTAGTGTTTAAAAAATATATAATCTTAACTAAAACTGCCATGTTATTTAATGGGTTTGTCTCTTCTATTCCCGCAGAGATACGTAGTGTGCGATGATGCCCAGCACCACCAGCTCTTTGACCTGATTGAGAAGATGCTGCAGTATGAGCCGTCAAAGCGCATCACGCTGGGGGAAGCTCTTAAGCACCCTTTTTTTGACCTGCTCGCACAGGATCAGCGCTCAGCTGTGCGGCGAGACACTCCGAGAGACCTGAGCAGATGATGTGAAGCCACGACTCGCTAATGGACACCCACACCTTGTCACACAGAGGCATTTTAGGGTTACAAGTGTGGTCCATTTTTATTGGAATTCCTGACAGTAACATGTTTTGTCTTTTACATGATGGTGCTTGGTCTGGTTAGATGGATTACCTTCCTTGTTTCTGTATTTTGCATCAGTGTTATGTCACAAAATAGCCTTTGCTGCTGGGTTTTTTTTGCCCCAGATTCCTTTATTTAGCCGGTGACAAAAGCTATTTTTAACACTGCTTGTCGTGAAATGAAGCTTTTGCCATTCTATTTATTCAAGCTATGAAATACCAGTTCAGATTTTTTTTCGGATCATGTAAATAACATACTAGCTTAATTACGTTTGGGTAAAAAAACCTTTTTTACATAAATGTAAAATGAACCCAGCAATAATTGGTGTAAGTTCAGAAGATAAATGTAATTTTTTTGTTATCTACAAATTTAGGCTGGAGGAGCTGAGTTATTTATGTGTGCCTTGTTGGGCCATTTATATGTCATTCTCATAGTTTAAATGTGAGCTCTGCACATATGTACTTTTATATTAAACGCAGATATACAGTTTCTGTTTTATTGGTGGCTTTTTGTCATACTTTTCATATATAGCAGTGGCTGAGGCTAATGGCCAATATTCAAAATCATGAACAAATGCATGAATCTAGCCTATTGTTGAAAACCGGGTTAACGTTACAATAGTAAAATGTCCAACGAATAATTAAATAAGTAGGCTTTCGTGACCAATATAAAGGTTTTTGGGTTCGATCGCATAAGTATAAACAACACACCGTTGGGCTGAAGTAACTAATAGGCGTTTTGTTTACGTGAAAATCTCTTACTAATTGGCTGTCGGGTGGTGGAGGGTTACGACATACTTGCACGATCTAACCCAACAACCTTTATTATGAATGAACTTGTTTCACTTATTGCTGGATGCTTCTGACATTCGTTCATTGGGCATGCCTGCTCTATATTCTGCAAACCTGATTAAATGCTAATATCTGCCATATCCAAATGGACTGCCATGTCAACACAGGCTGCAACGGATAAGTTGATTTCATGCTTTTGAGAGAATTCCAGAAAACGTGCGAATTGAAGAATGCAGAAAAGGGTCCTATCTACAAACTTGTCATCTGCCAAAATTTGACATTTACGAACAATCGCTGTGTGAATGCCCCCCCTCTCCCAGTGTTGTGCGTGAGCTACATTTAACTGTGGCCGATGCACAACGTTGCCGACATTTGCATCGGCTCGTTGGATGTACATTCATGCGGCAGTGTGTTCTTTTAAACATGCATTTAAGATTTTGCTTGATTTCCCAGCTGCAATATGTATGCAGTTTCCTTGTGTACGCAGGCCAGTGTGCGAACACGGGAGTTCGTTTTGAGAACCCTTGAATTGGCCTAGAAATTAAACCGGGATGTAATGTGTTATATAGCTCCCTCCCCCCCCCCCCCCCAATTCAATGAATTGTGATTTGGCGTCACCAGTTGCATTAATGTCGCGTCCCCAAAAGCAAGAGGTTTATAACCTCACAAGGGGTGTATAACCCCTGAAGAGTTTTGCACCTGGTTAAAGGTGAAATAAATAAAAATTACATTAAACAAACTCTTAAACGGTTCAATACTGTACATGTATAATACTACTTTGGTTCTTTCGGTAAAGTCACGTAGAAAAAAATAATAGAATACGACGTTTCGATTGTAACAACCATCAGGTAAGAATGAATTCGATAAAACAAACCAAACGGTAAACTTAGAAATATAATGTAATGCAACAGTCGGCTAACAAGCCAACACCCCACCTAGTTGATTACGCTCTTCCAAAGAATTACGGCACCACTGTCGAGGCCTTAACTAGGCGGAGGAGGGGTTGGGGTAGAGGACAGAGTTGTGTGGAATTCCGGACCATAGTGCCCGGAGGAGAGAATGGACTATAAACAAACCAGCACGGCATTATTTGGAGAAATAAAATCGGAAGTTTGAGAAAGTAAAATTAGGAAGTAATGCATGCAACAGAGTCGTTTAACACGCAACACAGCCTGGTTGATTACGTTCTTCCAAAGATTGCTACATTATAAGTTAAGTGTGAAACAGACAAGCGAGGAAAAATGTCGAGAAATAGGAAGTTTGACAAATTTAGTAAAATTACAGTAATGCAATGCAACACAGAGTCGGCTAGCAGTTAACGCATAGCCTGGTTGATTACGTTCTCCCAAAGATTGCTAAATATGAAGTTAAGTGAGTTGTGAGGAAACTCCGTAGAGGTGGTTCAAACTATATTCGAAGCTTTCGTGACTGCAGGAATTACTCTGGTAATTTTTCTAATTTATTCTTACCTGATGGTTGCTTGTTTCGATAGAAAGGTCGTATTCTATTTGATTTTATTTCCTACCTGACTTTACCGAAAGAACCAAAGAGTAATTCCTGCAGTCACGAAAGCTTCGAATCTAGTATGTATAATGTTGCTATATCCTTAAAATAGGCATCGTTTCACCCCAATTATATGACCACAAAAGCGGTGTACGCATCCAGAGGGATACCTAAGAATATAGTGTTCCGGGAGTAGGTAAAACATTTAGAGGCACGGCCCTACAATTGCTCGCGTCACTGTTGACGAAAGGGTCGATTTGAATGACCGAGAGTATTCTGGAATATTCCTTGCTGGCAAGACGTCTTGGACAAAATGGGAACACCCACGCTTTACCTCGCCACACCTGGGCTGTTCGACTGGTGTATTTGTACTGCTTGGGTGGGCAATCGCTGTCGGGAGAACAGAAGAACCTTTCTTACAAATGCCTGCAAGGTGAGCTGAGTTTATGCAAAGAGGTGAAAATATGCCCACGAGTCACCACGAGTAAAATCAAAGCGGTAAACACAGTTGCATGCCCGGTGAGTGATGGCGAGAGGCATGCGAGACCATTGTTGAGACTTGCAAGAACGATTATTCGTGTCGGTCACAAATTGGGGAGGGGGTGGCTTCAGATCTCGGCATAACGAGTACATAAAGGTGGGTTAAGTTAAATGAGGCTGGTGAGAAGAGAAGAGACCTCGCTTTGGCATCGCGGTGATGCCGGGATGCAGTGTGTGTGGAGGAGGAGACGCTCTTGAAGAGGGGAACTAAGGTCAGTAACAAGCAAATAACTCGGGGCTTGCTCAAGTTTGGATGTGACATGAATTGATGTCACTTCAAGTCTGCATTTTCTTCTATGAATGCGAATGGCCGTGGTGAGCAGTAATTGATTTCGTACACCTCGGATGAGCACGGTTTGGCTACGTACGATGCGAAAGAAGTTCAACATACAAAAAAGAATGATAACCGTTGAGAAAATATATTCTATGAATGCATTAAAAACGGATGTTAAAAATACTGATTGATCAGGTTAATGAGAGGCTTCACATGCAGTCCGCATCACTGTGCGTGCTGTTAAATCTTAATTATCTTGTCTGCGCTAACATTTATCTTGTGATGGGTTTTCTCGTCATTTAAAGATTTGGAATTTGGGCACAATATTTCCTACTACACTTAAAACAAATTTACTGCGAATGTTCGGCTCTGCGATATCGCTGGCTGATCTGCCTACAGAGCTGTATGCATTTTGTATGTATGTAGCCAACCGTGCTAATCGCGCAGGTTACGATAACCGCGATATGTATTTGAAAGGCGAGATTCGGTGCAATTTCAAAAAAGATCTATCCAAATTCCAGGTCCAGCGGGCAGATGAGAGAGCCGCAATTCCTGGCGTGATTTCCCCAAGACTGGACCAAAAGCTAAACCATGCGACCCACAATTCCAGTCTATTAAGGGACCAACACAATTCCCCCCTCCCATCCCTGGTGAGGAAGACAAGGTGAGTCGAACCCCTGTGCTCATGTTAATGTGTAAAAAACACGTATTAGGAATGCACCCAATATTTAGTCAAACGGTAAAGATCCTCAATAATCAACGGTTCGTCACATGCTAGAGTACAGCCCACGTAAAGAAAACAAAACCTGTTATGGGTAACACAAGGGGAAGAAAAAAACATTGGCAACCACAATACAACAGCACACAAACTGGCACATTCAGAATTGCCCTCGTTAAATCAGAATATACTGGAGGAATCCGATGAGTAGGGATGGGTAAGAATGTTACAACAACAAACAACGCAAAAACACGACAGGAGTGCAAAGTATAGGGAAGGTAAACCACGAAAACATACAAATACAACTTTTTAAAATATATATTATTAGGTAAAGCCCACTCAGCTATTAGATTATTTTTCAGATGCGACCTGGCCACATGATAGCTCAACGAAGTGACTCAACACGTCGAAATTTCATTTTTAAGTAAATCCTCTTCTATAATTGTATAGCAATACCATCAACACAGTATAACAATAGGTTTCCCTCCTTTTTCTGGCAACAAAACAGAAACCTTTTTATAAGGGATCATGTCTGCATTCACCACAATACTTGTGGTCAGAATGCAAAAAAACTGATAATATGTGCATTGTCCTTGAAACTGATTGGTCTACACCAGAGACAGCTTTTAGTTTCAAGGACAATGCATACATTATCAGAGTGGTTTTTCTGTGTGCATTCTGACCACAAGTATTGTGGTTAATGCAGACATGATTCCTTGTAAAAAGGTTTCAGTTTTGTTGCCATAAAAAAGGGGACAACCTATTCTTATATTTTGGTGCTGGAAAAGGATATACATCATGAGGCCTCCTATGGTGCCATAGGGCCCATTGAAGTATTGTAGTCTTGCAATTATTGTGTGTGATCATCATCAGCCATGATCGATCCACTGCTGGATGAAGGCCTCCTCAAAGCGTCGCCATCTCTGAGTCCTGCAATGTAACGAGTGCACACAAAAAGCATGGAGAGGTGCATGCTGGGAATTCCGCTGACGGACAAAAAAAAGAGGGAAAACGTGGATTTGAATACATATGCAGGTTGTAGACGTCATACAGTATTGCCTTAAGAAAAGTATGGGGGCTTGGTTAAGATACTTTGCTCGGATGGATGGTCGCCGGTGGCTGAGACTAATGACAGTGTAAGCCGAATGAAATAACACTCCCAAAAGGACACCCACAGCAGATATTGAGTGATGGGATGGGTATGCCAGAGCTTGATGTATTTTGTATCACATTATTTTATATTACGAGGATCTGTAAATAACAATAATAATCATGACTTAAAGCTTTCGTGACTGCTGGAATTCATATTTTTTGGGTCTTTCGGTAAAGGCACGCAGATAGGTTCAAAGAAAATAACAAAAAACTACGACGTTTCGATCACAACACAAGCGATCGTCATCAGGATGACGATCGCGATCAGGATGACGATCGCGTGTGTTGTGATCGAAACGTCGTAGGTTTTTGTTATTTTGTTGTTATTTTCTTTGAAACTATCTTCGTGACTTTTCCGAAAGACCCAAAGAATAACAATAATCAGTACATCGTTAATAAGGACATGTAGAGGCAAAAACGGGCTGAGTGTATATAGATGTAAATGTGCAAATTGCGGAGCAGGGCGTTGTGGGAAGAGATGTGTTTATTTAAGACGGTTGGTTTTTCCAAC